TGATTCACGATGCAATGCTAGGATTAAGGGTGTGAGTGCTACCCACCCTAGAGGTGGGTAGCCTGGATAAGATACAAGGGACAGAAAGAGGGTCCTCCCTTGTCACTTGTTGCCCCTGGTCTCTTTGCTTGCTAGTTGGCTGCCTACTGCCTGCCATGAACTGTTTCTCTTCCACAGTGCCCCTCTGTCATGCCACCCTGCCTTGGAGCCAGCAAATTATGAACTGAAACCTCTACAAACTATGAGCCAAAATAAACCTTTCCTTCTTTAACTTTGGGTGTCGATTATTTTGTTGCAACAATGGGAAAAAGTAACTAAAACAGTAGTAAACAAGCACTCTTGAGTTTCCCTGAAGACCCTGAGTTCTGGCCAATTCTTGGACCCTCAGAGTTCCCCATTCCCTGTCTCCATACCTTGTCCAGCTGGGGCCTACAAGGCCTACAGGCATAGCAGGGGTAAAATATTTTCAATATCCTCCCCAAATACCTTACTGGATCTCTTCTTGTCCCATATTCATCACCCTCTGCCTGTCCCTGCCAAGTGAGCAAAGGAGGAGAGGGGAAGGGCCTTCTTGTGGGTGCCCAGATCCTAGGCCCCACCTCATACCGCTTGGTTGCCTGGTGAACAGATTCCTCATTGTGGGAAGCCACCATGAGATGGTACATGGAGCCACGGTGGTTCACATGGTTCAGCATCAGCTCCAGACAGCGGCTGTAACTGAGGAGAGATGCCACAGTCAGCTCAGGACTCCTGTCCTTGGAAAGATGAGATGTTCCCAAGAGTGGGGTTTCTGGGGCCACATGTAACAGCTCCAAGGGACATTCGCCTTTGAGCAACTGTTGTCTTTGGTAACCCAGTGAATCTAACTGACAGCACTACTGTGAGGACAGAGTGAGATGATGCTGCATATAAAGTTTTTGACACATTGGCAGCGTCACGGGAAAGGGTCACATCGCATGCACAAGATAACATTTACCCAAGGCTCACCCCTGCAGCATGTTCTACAGAGCACGATCAGCAACAACCCAGATGTCCGAAAATGGGGAACTGCTACATGAACTGGCACACAGAGGCACATGGAGTGAGGGATTGGCACAAAGGGGGGTGGGGGTCCAAGAGGAAGCTGGGTTTTTTGAGGGGGGACCTGGGAGAGGGAGTGAAGTGTGGATGCACCCGGAATGCTCAGCACAGAGCCTCATTGGGCAGCGAGCTCTAAGGAGAGGTTGTATGGCATTATTATTTCTTCCGAGGCCAACCTCCTGAGGCTTCTCCTACCTCCGACTGGTGGCCTCATAGTCAGGCTGAGTGGGATCCTTTGTCCCTTGGAGCCGAGCCACCATTCTCTCCTTCTCCAGATATGCACCTCGTACCAACTTCACCCCGAAGGTCAGACCCGTTCTGTGTGCATCCTCAGCATCTCGGGTCAACCGCTCATGCGTGTCCTGCAGGGGCAAAGTGGTTTGGATGGGCAGAGGCCAGATGCCCGCTGCATCCTCTAGAGACCCCACCCACCTGCAGATAAGCCTGGTAAGTGTTCCACACCCAGGGCCCGCCTTCCCTCGGGCTGTTCCAGCGCACAGCCAGGGCAGCCACCAGCAGAGAGAGCGCGGGGTTGATGAAGGTGTACTCTGCGTCCACCAGGAGCCGCACATGCCGGGCCTGGGCGTGCTGAGGGCGAGAGTCGGTGTCAGGACCCAGGGCAGCCAGGGCAGGCAGGAGCCAGACTGAGGCAGAGATGTTACCTGTGCCACCCGGTGCAAGCGGCTCAGGGAGGCCTGGAGGTGCCAGTTCTGCTCAGCGTTGAGGAAGGAGACCTGGAGGTTCTGAGGGGTAGCAGGAGAGGCAAGAGAGGTTCAGGACTGCTGGGCCCTTTCTGGGTGTAAATCTCCCCACCACCGGGACAGGGAGAAAGTTCAGAGATTGTTAGAAATTGGGGAAAAAATAACAATATCATATAGGTGTGTGTGTGTGTGTGTGGTCCTGGAGTTTGAACCCAGGGCCTTTTTACTGACTTACATCTTTAGCCCTTTAAAAATATTCCCTTTTTAAATTTTGTGAGAGGGTCTTACTCAGTTGCTAAGTTGCCTAGGTGGGGCTGGAACTTATAATCTTCCTGCCTCAGCCTCCTAGATCTGATAGATACTATTTACTAAGGTGTAATACAGTGGCTAGGAGACCAGGCTGGGTTTGAATCCTGGCTCAGGCACTTACTGTGTGACCTTGAACAAGTCATATAGCTTCTCTGGGTCTTAGTTTCCTCCCCTGTGAATTGAAGATGATCCATATCTACCTCCTGGAGTTGGGGCCGTAGCAGTCATTTGTCATCACTATCAGTTATGCACTGTTCATAATTGCATGTATACTTTTATATGACTGGCAGCACAGTGGGTTTGTTCACACACATCACTAGCACACAAGTAACACATTACGCTACAACTTCACCACAGCTCCAACGTCACTATGTGATAGGAATCTTTCAGCTGTTATATAATCTTACGGGGCCTCCACCGAATATATGGTCTGTCATTGACTGCAACTTCCTCAAGCAGCTTGTGACTGTATTTAAACATGCCACGTCCAGGCCCGAGGACTCTATTCCCCTGAGGTTCTTACCTGTCCAGAGTCCATGGCTTCCGCCAGCCTCTCAGGACTCAGCTCTGAAGAGGACCCTGACCTTCTGGTCCATGAGGTCAGCTCTTTCTGAAATGGGGTGGTAGGTGAGGTGGTGAGGGGAATCTGATGGGCAGCTACATCCCCAGGCCCCCAGCCTTGCCTGTCCCTTACACAGAGTCGTGTGCTGGCCAGCGCTGTCACCCTCAGCTGCATGAGGCTGTTCCCAGCTGTTCCAGAGGTCTCCACAAGGCTTCGTGACAGGTCCACACACCGCATCATAGCGCTGAGGTTGTCCTCATACCAGGACTCTCTGCCAGCCCGCAGGGATCAGAGCCCAGGCCCAGGAAGCCCCTTCCTGCCATCCTCCCAACTTCTCCGGTCCCAGGTCGCTACTCACCCAGTCTTGGGGGTTGAGTCAGGCTCTTCTTCAATAGGCACTGCCACCAGGGGTCGCAGGCCGAGGCCTTGGAGCTGCTGGACACAGGTCCTCACCTCCTCTGTGGTTTCCCCGGCCACAAACTGCCCATACATAGATGCTCGGAGGATGGCCCCAGAGAGCCGAGAGCCCAAGAGTCGCTGAGACCAGGCCTGGAGCTGGGTGACAGGGAGCAAGGACTCAGTGCCAGGCCTGGGCAGCCACCAGGGCAGTCGTAAGGGGCACTGCTCACCGCCAGCCCATGAGTGACCAGAGGGGGCCAGGCACAGAGCCGTAGCACCAACAAAGCTCGTGCCAGTTCTGCTGTACTCTTGAGGTGGAAGGCAGATCCATCAAAGTGCAGGGGCTGCCAGTCTCCTGAGGGGGGCCCAGCTCGGGAACAGAGTGCTCGGCAGGTTCGCAGGAGCATCATGAGCTGCCTGCTGCTGCCAGCCTTCCAGGGGAAGGGGCTTTGGAGCTCCAGATAGACCAAGTGCCCCTTTCCCAGCCAGGGGGCAGTAACTGATTAACTGGACAAATCTTTAGGATCACAGACGCCTTGGGGGGCCGTTAATCATTAACAATGGGGACAGAGTTCAGAGTAATGGTAACAGGAAAGGCAACCCCCAGAAGCAGCCCCCAACAACCTTCAGCATGAAGTGCACACTTACTGTGGCTACCAATGTGCTGCTAAGTGAGTGCATGGACTGGGGAGCAAGGAACTCTGGAATCAAGGCAGCTTGGCTTTGCAGTCTTGGGTGAGCAACTTGACCTGTCTTGTTGTAATTGCATCGTATCTCAATGAAAAACAGGGCAGTGTTATCAAATAATTTTAAAAATACACATAACCTATAACCCAGCTGTTTTACGCTATGTATATATCCTAGAGAACTTGAACTTGGGCATCAGGAAAAATATAAAGAATCTTCATAATAGTTCTAAATGGCAACCACCCAAATTCCCATCAAAAGAGAATGGATAGATACATTTTGGTTTATTTATACAATGGAATATTATACAGTAATAACAAAGAATGGACTACTGATACAATCACATGGCCAAATCAGTACCAGGGATTGAACTCAGGACCTTGCGCTTGTGAGGCAGGTGCAGCACCACTGAGCTAAATACCCAGCCTGGCCAAATCTTATAGGCACAGTATTGAGTAAGAGAACCCAGATGCCAAGCAGGCTACACTGTTTCCAATCAATGAATATGAAAACAGGGAAAATAAGAGTATAATAAAGTTTGAAGACACAAACTAAAAGAAGGGAAACAAGGAAATGATTACTGCTGCAGAATTGTATAACAGGTGAGAGGCATATGAGGGCTTCTATATTCTGTTTTCTTTTAAAAATTTTTTGTTCTATTTCCTCAACATGAATGATGATTCACAGTTATGCACATTATCAGTTTGTTTTAGGGGCTTGGGTGTGGTTTTTTTCATTTTAACAAACTTTTGTTTTGTTTGTGTTGAGGATCATACACAGGGCTTCACACAGGCTAGGCAAGTAAGTGCTCCACCACTGAGTTACATCCCCAACCCCATTGTAAGTATTTTTTTATTAGTACCGTGGATCAAACTCAGGACCTTGAGCTTGTGAGGCAGGCGCCATGCCACTGAGGTAAATCCCCAGTCATTATAAGTATTTTTAAAAGCCATAATCTTCGTTTTGTACATTTCTGAATATTCAGTGTGTTTCATAATAAAAGTAAGAACTTTATTTATCATAATATCAGTCTCCTGATGTTATTGGACTCCAGTTAATGAACACACACACCCTGGTATACAAGTGCACAGTAAGTACTGGCTGTGGTCGTACAGTATTGTATACATACAATCTCACTGAGGCCTGTTTCCCTGATGTGTCATCCATCACCCCTGTGCTTGGAGATCCAGCCCCAAGACCACCTTAGGTTCAATAATTTGCTAGATGGATTCAAAGAACTCAAAAAGCAGGCATATTCATGATCATGGTTTATTACAGTGAAGGATACAGATTCAAACTAGCAAAGGAAGAGGAGGCGAGGGTTCAGGAGACGCCAGAGCAAACTTCTAGTAGTCCTCTCCCAGTGGAGTCCAGAGGCTGAAGCAGGAGGATCACGAGGTCAGCTTGGACAACACAACAAGACCTCATCTCAAAAACAAAACAAACAAACAAAAAAGTGAGAACATTCTTCTTCATGCCTACAACACCAAGACAATATTAATAATTCCTTAGTACCTTATTACCTTACCCATGTTCAAATTTCCTTACTTTTCTCTGAAGTTGCTTTGGTGTGTGTGCACACACTGGGGATGGAGCCCGAGGGCCTCACACATGCTAAGCACACACTGTACCACTGAGCTCCACCCACAGCTCAAATAGCTGGGTTTTAAAAATCAGAGTCAATTCAGATTCTTGTTTTGCATTTGGTTGTTATATTTCTTTAATCTTTTTTTTAAAAATCCTCCTGACTTATTTAGAAGTTATGTTTGCACTTTTACTTTCTCAAACTTTGTCACTGCTTAAAAATTATGTTTGCTTTTTAAGCTATTTTTATTAGTATATGTTTGTGATACATAATAATTCATCTTCAGGAACTGGTACATATACAAATTGCATCTTAATCATTTTTATCCACCATCCCTTCCCCAGGTCCCTGCCATGAAGAATGTCCCAAATTTGCCTGATTGTGTCCTTGTGATGTTATGCAATGTGCTGCTTTATCCTCTGTAATGCCCGTCAACCAAACTGTTGGTCTAGAGCTATAATTTGTTTGGTCAATCTGCACTGGTATCCTCTGGGTCACCTTCAGAATTCCCAGGCCTGGTCTCCTAAGCCACCATGTTATTGGGCTTTCCAGGATCCTGGACAGCTCTGATGAGACCAACTCCAGCAGAAGAGGAGGGGCTAGGGTCAAAGTCCTCACAGAGTCACCATTGTGGGCTTGGGGAACTTTGGGAGATACAGAAAGAAGACAGAAGCAAAACAGACCTTCAGGGTTTTCTGAGGGACATTAAATACTCATTATGAAGTGTTGATTTTACCTTGAGGACACTAGGGAGCCATGGAGGATTCTAGGCAGAGAGTCTCAGATTTAGGCTTTAGAAAGATCCCTGTGGCTACTAAGTATAGAGTAGATCGGAGAGGGAGACTGAGACTGACAGTCTAGGGAGAAAATTGAGGCAGAGCCAGGATGGTCAAGTAGGAGGTTGAGCCAGGGATAAGCAGGAGGCCATGTGAATGGGCCCTTACAAATCACTTACATTCTTCATGGAAACTCCAAGATCCAAAGGTGATAGGCATGGAGATGTTTGTCCAGTACAGCATTTGAGGGGCACTGTTCCTTCACCCTAATCCCAAAATCATTCTCATGAGAATTCCAGGTTCTAGGGAATCAAGCACAGAGATTCTGGCCAAGTAAGGGGATCAGAAACACCCACTTCTGGCCTCCCCCAGATTTCTCCTTGTAATCTCTAAATTCTGCTTTTCTAGTGTTATTGCTTAGATTTATTCCTAAAAGCTACAGTCCCCAGATACAGGCAGGACATAGTAGGTCCTGAATAATTACTTGTTGAGTGAATGAAAGAAACAAAGAGTGATGTCCCAGCCCTTTGACACCTTCAGACCAACAATGCCCCACTTCCTGTCTAAGCCTCAGTGCTTGACTAGGCTAGCAGAGCACCCATCTCAGGGGAACCCCCTCCCTACTCCCCACTGTTTGAAGACAAAAATTCCTTCAAATGCTCTGCAAGGCTTGGCATCGTGTCTTCCCTTGACTGCACCACAAGCTCACTTGGGGAGTGATCGCTTGAGCTCTGTCTTGTTATTTTATTTTTTCAAATGATCATGTAGTAAAAATAGCCTTTTTCCTTTGGTGTACATTTCTGTGAATTTTAACATGGGTATAGATTTGCTAAATCTCTCATTTCAATCAGAATAAAAACAGTTCCATCAGACCAAGAAACACCTTTTATAATCACACTCATCCCTCCCTTAACCCCTAAAACCACTGATTTTTTCCCACTGAGAATGTCAAATACGTGGAATCATACTGCATGTGGCCTTGGAAGCTGGCTTCTTCCACTCCATATGATGTCTGAGATGCATCTAATTTGTTGCATATATCAATAGTTCCCTCCTTTTGTCTCCCTTGTCTGATGGTTGTAGATCTGTTTGTTTATTCGTTCATCTGTTCAAAGACATTTGTATTATTTTCAACACTTGGGCTTTGAAACTCCTGATGTTTGGCTCCCCCCAGTGATTAGTTAGTCACAGGCAATTCAAGTGCTCACCCAGGCATGGGGGATGGGGGGCACAAATTGCCTTCTGTGCTTCTCAAACTCGAATTCTATGTCTGTCTTTACTCCCCACTATCCCTTCTGCAAGCCAAGCCACCTGCTTTAGGATCTTGCACTGCTATTCCCTCAAACTCTCCCCCTCCTTATTTGCCTAGTTAACCCCATCTGTCTTCAGGTCTCAGGATTTAAGACCTCCAGAGAGACCTACCCTGATCAGCCCCTCCCAGATGAGGGCCAGTTTGACCAATGCACACTCTTATACCACCTTTGTAGCTCTTGTCAATTCATTATCTTTCAGTAACCACTCAATCTCTTCTCCCTCACTAGAGTGTGGGCCTCATGAGGGTCATATTAATTTTTGTCATTAATTTAGTCCCACTATTTAGCACAGGACTTTATTTTTTTCCCCAGCAGTGGAACTTGAACCCAGGGCCTTCATACTAAGCTACACTTCCAGCCCTTTTAATTTTCAGTTCTTAAGATAATATCTTGTTAAGTGGCTACATTGCTAAAGCTGAGCTCAAACTTGCAATCTTCCTGCCTCAGCCTCTCAGAGGGATGGGATTGCAGACATGCACCACCATGCCTGGCTAGCACAAGACTTAACTTTTTATTGCCTTTTTTTTGAAGCAGGGTCTTGCTATGTACTGTACTTCAGATAAGATCGGGTGGGTTCAGGGTAGTATGGCTATGTACTGTAGTTCAGGCTGGCCTTGAACTTGCTATGTACCCCAGGTTGGCCTTGAACTCAGGGCAAGTCTCCTGCCTCAGCCTCCCAAGCACTGGGATTACAGGTTTGCACCACCATGCCCAGCTGATTTAATTCTTGTTGAATAAATGAAATGATTTAATAGGTATCTTTAGCATTTGCTGGACAAGAGATTTGGAGATTCTTTCTTGTATCAATACAAGTACAGTGATTTCTTCAGTCATAGCTGATCTCACAAAAGGCAGCAGAGACTACAAGAATGACCCCATCAAAAACTCATGAGTTAGGCCAGGGATTTAACTCAGTGGCACTGTGCCTGCCTCGAAACTGCAAGTTCCTGACTTTGATCCCTGGTACAAAAACAAAACAAACAAACAAAAAAAAAACCTCACGAGTCAACAAGGGACAGAGCAGGGAACAGTGTTGCCCCAAGAGTGGCTGCTAATAGCACTGCTACTGAGATGCTAACTCCTGGGCTATTCAGGAGGTAAGGGATTCAGATGTGGTACTTCTAAATCAGGCCAAGAGCCTGGGAGGGTCTGAGATAGCCCCGGATTGGTGGTACCCCATAGTTACCACCAGAACCGGAAGCAAATGCTCTCTGCAGGAAGGCTTCTTTGACTTAAATTTGCAGGACTTCCACTGACCAGGAACAAGCAATAAGCTCATACTCAAAAATCATCAAATGCACAAGACAGTCAGCCACCATGAGCGAAAGCCAGCAGAAGCAATTCCCGCAATAGAAACCACCCCAGAACTCGGTGGCTTAACAACAGTAATCATTTTGTTGCTGCTGCTGTTGTTGTTGTTCACAGAATGGCCATTTGGGCAGTGCTCACCAAGAACTTGTTTGTGCTCCATGTGGTATGAACAGGGGAAGGTCTGACAACTTGGGAGTGGCTGTTGTCCCAGTGCTCAGTTAGGGCTGGGAGCCTCAGTTCATTTCTGTAGCATGCTTAAGCCTCTTTCCACCATGGTAAAAGAGCTCTTAGCAGGAACATCCAGGCAATAAGGAAGAAGTTGCTTTGCCTTTTATGACCTCACCTTGGTAGTCCCACAGTGTCACTTTCACCATTGTCATAAACCTGCCAAATTCAAAGGGAGGGAACATAGATCCTATCTCTGAAGAGACACTCTCAAGTCACACTGTAGAAAAAGCAAATCTTGACCTGTGGTGGCTCACATCTGTCATCCCAGCACTGGCAAGGCAGGGGAATCACCCAAAGTTCGAGGCCAGCCTATACTATGTAGCAAATTCAAGGCCAATCAGGGCTACACTTGAGACCCTGTCTAAAAAAAAAAAAAAATGAGCAAATCTTGTGGCCATCTTTGGGAAATATAGTGTGCTTCAGCCACAAACAAAAGATTCAGACCTGCAAAACTTTAGATAATGGAACTGTTTAAATCAGACTATTCACTTGGAAATGTTTAAACAAATACAATATGCAATCACAAATATAAGCAAGCAACAAGACAATATCAGGAGTGAAAATGTGACCTGAAAACATAAAATGATAGATGAAACGTCTAGAGATGAAAAACACAACAAATGTAAATCCCAAAATGAAAATAAAAGCTCAGTAGATTAGACATAGTTGAAGAGAGAACAAGAGAACTAGAACTCACATCAGAACTCCATTCTTCAAATTATGTAGCACAGAGGGTCGGGGATTTAGCTCAGTAGCACCCCGCCTGCTTGGCAAGTGCAAGATCCTGAGTTCCATCCCTAGTACCGGAAAAAAAATTACGTAGCACAGAGTGACAAAGACATATATATATGAAACAGAGGTTAAAATACATCATCTAGGCACAGGCTTGTAATCCCAGCACTCTGGGAGGATGATGCAGGAAGATTGCAAGTTTGAGCCCAGCCTGGGCAATTTAGCTACTTAGTGAGATTCTGTCTAAAAATAAAAAATAGAAAAGGGCTGGGGATTGTAGCTTGGTGTGAAGGCCTTGGATTCAATCACCAGTACTTCCCTCAGATCTATCTAATAAAATTCTCTAAAGTGGAAAGGAGAGAGAATGGAGAAGAGACAATCTTTGAGGAAATGTGACTGATAATTTTCCAGAACTAATGAGAAATATGAATCTATAGTTCAAGAAACAAGCCTATCCTAAACTCACTACATCAAAAGAAATCCATACCGACACACATCCTACTGAAATTGCAGAACACTGAAGACAATGAGACCTATTATTTATCTGTGAATCCTCCAGAGGATAGATAGCATGGACTGGATGCTCCACAAATCCTACTTGGTGGAGAGGGTGGATGTCCCGTGTGGAGATCTCAGACTCATTGAAGGCAAGGACATAGAAATAAATAGGGCAGACGTGTTCTTCTGACCAACTGAAACCACAACACTAGGCTTGGGAGAGAGTGAAGTTGAAAATCAGAGTGCGTGAGGCAGGAAGACTGGGTGGGTAATCTGCTATGCCTGAGGAAGAACACGATGGACTGCTCAGTGGTACTCATGGAAGGTTCTTGGAAAAGTGCCCAGATGGTTGTTCTGGAGTGAACACTCATTTTGTGGCAAGAGGGAAAGGGGTTTTTTTGGGAGGGGGGTGGTCCTGAGGATTGAACCCAGGGCCTTCGTACTGAGCTACACCCACAGCCCTTCTCTTTTTTGGCACAAGGTCTTGCTAAGTTACCCAGACTAGGCTCAAACTTGTGACCCTTCTGCCTCGGCCTCCCAGAGTGTGGGGATTATAGGCATGCACCACCACATCTGATTGGGTAGGGTTGTTTTTTTGTTTTGTTTTGTTTTGGGGGGTTTTTTTGTTTTTGTTTTTTTGTTTTTTGCTACAGGGGATCGAACTCGGGGCCTTGAGCTTGCAAGGCAGGCGGCAGAACCACTGAGCTAAATCCCTAGCCCCGGGTAGGGGTTTTAACAGTATCACTGAGGCAGACTCCTGTGTGGGAGGAGTCAGAATCCTCCTCTTATTGGTTCTGACGGGTCACGTGACGACCCTTACGCCTGCACCCTGCGGGTGAAGAATGAGACAGGATCCAATGAACCCTTGCTCCAGTAGCGCATGAGCATCGGAGGCACAAACCCTACTTTCGAGGAGGGACTAGTCTCTGCTGCTTAGCAAGGCAAGACCTCATCGTGGCCTTCAAAAGAGGGAAAGGACACTGAATGACAAACACAGCTGGACTCGGGTGATTTTGATGGTTCCAGGAAATAACACATATCAAGAATTTAGAATACGACCTGGCCTGTGGAAACAGCTCACAAACGTTATTATACTGCGGTTGCAAATGGCTTCCTATCATCTGATAAAATACAAACCCTCTTAGATGACTTTCTTGATTTATCCGATTCATCTCACCAATCTCTTTCAATTCCTGCCACTTCCTGTCTTGACCTTTATTCGCCAGCAATTTTAGCAAAATGCCTCCCCGCGCTGTGCTCCTGGAGTCCTCTCTGCGTCGACGCCCGCACAGCGACTTTTCCTTTAATATCGGGGTTCAGTGACCATTCACATGCACATGACACATCCCTGACCAGTTTTATTCACCAGCACAGATCTCTCTGCTGATCTCCAGAACCCTGTACACACATGCTGATTCACTGTCTCATTCTTCACCGGCAGACTCTTAAACGGGGTGGTATCGCCCCCTGATGGGAGTTTCGGAAACTTGCACAAACTTTTGTGGTTGCTGAGTGCCTGAGAGGGCACCACAGACTTTTAGAAGTCAGGGGCCAGAAAACTTGGGGACTGTGTCTGCATCTGATCAACTTGAAAACGTCCTTACAGGCATTCATGTGAGTTAAAAAATTAGTACAGTTATTAATCTTATTGTTAATATAATATATATACACACACAATTATTTTTGGCATGGCTTTAAATGTATTGGCATTTCTTGAAATCAAACTATGATATAAATGACGATGGGGGGGGTCCACCAAATGAGAATGTCACAGTCCCAAGCACAATGCTGCCTGTGAAACATAATGTAAAATTTTACTTAACTATGATAAAGAAACGTGCCCATATCACAAGAGTTCAGCATGATACATTTTCCGAAAGTGACCATACCCACGTAATTATCTGCTGCTCAATAAGCATTATCAGCTCCCAGGAGCTCTCTCCAAAGCTCCAATCATTGTCCCTCTGTTCCCCAAAGATAACCACTCTTGACTTCTTTTTTTTTTTCCACTCTTGACTTCTGGCATCATATATTAGTCTGTTTTAATTTTGAGCTGATGAAATCATACAGCATGTTCTCCTTTGGGTTCGATTTCTTCTACTTACTGTCATGCTTGTGAGGTCCTCCCTGTTTTTCTGTATGTCAGTAATTCATCCCCACTGCCACATAGTATCCATTGGGTGACTATACAATTAATTTAGCTATTCCTTCATAAACACTTTGGTGGTTTCCTGTTTCTGGCACGAATAAACTTTCTAGCTCATGTATTTTTGTTCACATATATAAGCATCTCTATTGGGTATATGACTATTGGATTATAGGGTATCACTGTGTTCTAATTTAGTAGATACTGCCAAACTGGGTTTTTTTGGGGGGGGGGGTACCAGGGATCAAACTCGGGTCCTTGTGCTTGAGCAGCAGGCAGCAAAACCACTGAGCTAAATCCCCAGCCCTCTGCAAAACTATTTTGCAAGATGCTTGTCAGTTTACACTTGCATAGCATGTAGTTGTGCCTGAGCTTTGTTTTCCTTTTCTTTTTCCTTCTGATCCCTCAGGAATACAGAATGGATAAACAGTGTTTAGTTAGTAGGAGTTTTTTTCAGTTTTTTTATAGTGGTAAAATATACATAAAATTTATCATATTAATCTTTTTTTTTTTTGAGACAAGGTCTTGCCATGTAGTTTAGGCTGGTCTTGAACTCATTATGTAGCCCATACTGGTCTTGAACTTGCAGCAATCCTCCTAGTTCAACCTCCCTAGTGCTGGAATTACAGACATGCACCACCACACCTGGCTACAATCATTGTTAAATGAAGAGTTAGTACATTCATATTATCATGTAATTATCACCACCATTTCCATTTCCATTTCCAGAAAATTTTTCACCTTGTGTATTAGTCAGCTTTCTTGTCGATGAGACACAATACTTAACACCCACAGTTTGAAAAGAAGAGGTCTAATTGGGCTCATGGTTTTGTGGGATTCAGTTCATAATTAGCTGGGTCTAAGGCAGGAACATAATTGCAGATGGGCATAGTGGAAAAAGCCACTTAGTTCCTGGTGGCTGGGAGGCAGAGCAGAGGAACAAGGCCAGAGAGGAAGGAACAAGAGGCTAGATATAGACCCCGAGGTCAATCCTCCATGACCCACTCAGACATACCCACCAATCCCCTGGACAGCTCCCTAGCCAATCAAGTTGACACAATTAAGTTTAACCACTACACTTTGCAAAACTATGACTTTATATCCATGAAACAATAACTCATTGCTTTCTTCACCCAGCCCCTGACAACCACCAATGTACCATATGTCACAATGATTTTGACTACCAAGTATCTCACATAAGTGGAACACACAGTACTTGTCTTGTTGTGACTGGCTTACTTCATTTAGTGTAATGTCCTTAAGGTGCATTTGTGCTGTACCATGTGACAGAATTTCCTTCCTCTTTAAGGCTGAATAAGATTACACTATTATATGCTACATTTTGCTTATCCATTCATCCATTGATGGACACTTAGGTTTCCTCCATATTTTAGCTATTGTGAGTAATGCCGCTTTGAACATGGATATGAAAATATCTCTTTGAAATCCTGCTTTCAATTCTTTTGGATCTAAACTCAGAAGTGGGATTGTTGGTGGATCAAATGATAATTCTATATTTAATCTTTTGAGAAACTGCCAGACTATTTTCCACAGAAGCTAAACCGTTTTACGTTCCCTTCAACAGTGCATGAAGTTCCCATTTACTCCACCTCCTTGCTAGTAATTGTTATTTCCTGGTTTCTGCTTTTAAAAAATAGTCATTCTAATGCTTGTGAAGTGGTATCTCATTGTGGTTTTGATTTTCATTCTCTAACAATTAGTGATCACCTTTTTTGGCCATTTATGTATTTTTGGAGAAATGTTTATTCAAATCCTTTGCTCACTACCAAATCAGTTTATTTTTTATTTTTTATTTTTAAAATCCACACAGGAGTTTATTACTGGCCGGGACCCGAGCCGAGGATCAGACTCGAGCTCTGACTTGGGGGGAGACAAACATGTTTTATACACCTTTGAGGCCAAAAGTTTCTAGCCCCCCCCCTCCCCCCGCCATGGGATAGAACTAGAAAAGCAAGCAAAAGGTACAGAAGTGGAACATCCTGCCGTTAGAACATTTGTAAAACAATAGTTGATTAATTCTTGTTTCTAAGAGACTTTCTAAGGGGAGGAGGTTTCTAAGCTTCCTCCTTCTAAGTTCATCTAAAGGGCAGGCAGGTGGGTCGTCCAACAGCAATATGGAGTCTGTTTTGCTAACTAGGGTCCTTCAGCTAACATTAAAAAGAGAGAAATTGATCCCAAGCTCCTAGGGCAGAGAAGGTGAGCCAGTCCCAGCACCCAGAAGCTCCCCGGCCACCATCCCAAGCTCCTAGGGCAGAGAAGGTGAGCCGGTCCCAGCACCCAGAAGGAAGCTCCCTCACCAGCATCCCAAGCTCCTGGAAGGAAGCTCCCCCGCCGCCATCACAAGCTCCTAGGACAGAGAAGGTGAGCCAGTCCCAGCACTCAGTTTATTTTTTACTGTTGAGTTTTAGGAGTTTTCTACATGTTGTAGATATTAGTCACTTATTAGCTATATGATTTGAAAATATTTTCTCACATGCTATTTGTATTACAAAAGTTTTAAATTTTCTTTTCTTTTCTTTTTAGATAGTCTCACTATATTGCTCAGGCTGGCCTCAAACCCTTGGGCTCAAGTGATCCTCCTGCTGCAGCCCTCTGAGTAGCTAAGACCACAGGCATGCATTAACCTGAAAACTTTATGATTGCCAATCTTTCTATTTTTTTCTTTTATTACCTGTGCCATTGGGGTCATATCCAAGGAACTACTGCCAAATCCCATTGTTATAGGGTTTGGCCTTGGGTTTTCTTCTAAAAATCTTATGGTTTTAGCTCTTTCATTTAGATCTTTGTCTTGTTTTGAGTTAATTTTAGTATATGGTACAGTGGTACTTCAGGTCACTCTCTGCAACCAGAATCATGGAAGGAATTAAATTTGTGAACCAAAGTACCACTGTATAAGGTAAAAGTCTAAATACATTCTTCTACATATGGCTATCTGTTTTTCTCAGCACCATTTGTTAAAAAGCTATCCTTTTCCCATGGAATGGTCTTGGGTCCTTTGTTAAAAGAAGTTGACCCTATAGGGAAGGGCTTATTCTTGGACTCTGTTCTATTCTACTGCTTTATATGACTGCCCTTATACCCGCACCATACTGTTTTGATTACTGTAGATTTGAAAATCAAGAAGATTTAAAATCAGAAATATGAATCCTCTAACTTTTTTGGGGTTTTGATAATAAATACCTGCAAAACTATCACACAAAACAAAAGCTGACAATAATCTACATCTGACCATATCACCCTCCCTGTCAACATGCCTTCTAGAGGTAAATATCATCTTCAATCATGTGCTCATTTTTGACTTGCTTTCCTTTGGGTATATTATTAAGACTTTTTAAGAGGTTGTTTTTTTATTTTGAGACAAGGTCTCACTATATAATTCAGGCTGGCCTTGAACTCACTATGTAGCCCAGGCTGGCCTTGAACTTGCAGCAATTTAAAGGTTTTTTTTTTAACTTTGTAAGAGATTATGTTGTATGTAACTTCAGGGGACTTATTTTCTCAATAGCATGTTGCTAAGATTCATTTGGTTAATTAATTTTGATTGCTGTATAATATTTCATGATGCCATGATGTGACTATCACACTACATATATATCCACTTTCCCACTAATGAGCATTTAGGTTGCTTCAAGCTTTTTGCTGTTGTACATGGAGCTTCTGTGGACATATAAAAAAGTTTCTTTTAGACATAAGTGTAAGATCAGAATTGTTGGACCACAGAATAATTAATGTTTAACTTTAAAAAACCATGTCAATTGGAGTTTTGAGGTGGTTGCACCAATTTATCCCTGCAATTTCTTTTTTTTAAGCAACAGGAACAAGGCAGATTTAGCCCATCTGAAATTCAGAATAAAGACCCTATATTTCAGAGACAGGCACTTGGTGGTGCTGGGCTTCGAGGTCCTATAGAATTGGGGGACCCAATCCTTGAATGGGAAATAATTAGGGTCAAGGAAGGAAGTGAAGAATTCACAAGGAGAGAATGGAAAAAATCTGTTGAGGGATGCAGACAGAATATGATGTAACCACTGAAAAATGAAAAATGCCAGGTAAAATTGCATAACTTCTGAGATCCAGCAGCACAACTTATTTTTTGCTTTTTATGATACTGCCATGCACCTTTACAATAATTTTTAAATTTTAATTTTGCTATAATTTCAGACTTACAGAACAATTCCAAAAATGATACAAAGAATTCCAATATATATTCACCCCATTCCCCAGATGTAAACATTTTACTGCATTTGCTTTATTCTTTTCTATCCCTGTGTAAATGTACACATTTTCTCAACTCTTTGAAAATAAGCTGAAGCCACAATACCCTCTTACCCTAAATATATACTAGTGCATACTTCCTGAGAACAATGCATTCTCTTATGTAACAAGAGTACAATAAATTAGTTTTGCCTATAAATGAAATCATACAGCATGCATTTTTTGCATCTACTTCTTTCAATAGAGTTTATTTATATTGATACATGTGTCAGGGTTTATATAGTATGTTTTAGATACTGTAAAAAATAATGAAATAAGAATAGGTAGGACATAACCATTAGCTATTTCAGATGTAATCAAACTCAAAATGAACTGAGTTTGGTTTTTGTTTTATTGTGGTACTGGGGACTGAACTCAGGGCCTTCATACTGAGCTACATCTACAACCCCCTCCTGTTTTTTGTTTTGTTTTGTTTTGTTTTGGTACCGGGGATCGAACTCGGGACCTTGCACTTGCGAGGCAGGCAGCAGAACCACTGAGCTAAATCCCCACGACCCCTCCTCTTTTTTTATACAGGGCCTCTCTCTAAGTTACTAAGTTGCCAGGCTGGGCTCAAACTTGCTATCTTCCTGTCTTAGCCTTCCAGAGTGTTGGGATTACAGGTATGTGGCACAATACCTCGCTCAGTTTTTTGTGTTGAGATGTCATTTACAAGTCACCCTGTCATTGTGGGGAAGTTTAGTTACTAAACCCAACCCCAGGAAGAACTTTGCTTATACTCTGACACCAGCTTGAACCATCTTCTGTCACTTACACACATTTCCCCCCATGGCCTCTCCAGAAAAAATCTGTCCCTTTGTGTCCTATGCAGCTCACTTAACAAGCTCAGCCATGCTGGAATGAAAAAGACCCTAGAGTATTATGTCCTGCAGGTGAAGGAAAGGGCTGCTGAAAAGGCTGTCACACCAGATCTCCCCTTAGCTCAAAGGGAAGAGAATCTGATTCCAGAGGGCCTGAATCTCCTGCCACCTGGTCATAGATTCTTCCTGGACCTTCATACTTGTCCTCAGCCCAGTGGAGGTCATAGGAGCCCTGACAGAAGAAAAGTAGAGTTAGAACCAGAGAGAAAGGCCCTATGGGTCATAACCTCAGCTTTGAAGGACACACTCCCCTGCTCAACTTGCCAGGAAAATGTTTTAGCTTTGAATTATGGGAAATATCCAACATACACAGAGAAGAGAGTGGTAGTAATCAATCTTTCTCATGAATCCCCATGTACTCATCATCTAACTTCAACAGTACTGACCTTTAATTCCTATTTATTTATCTACAGTCCTCCGCTCTACCAACTGAGCTATCGAAGGGTGCATCTGTTTATTTATCTAAATCTCAGTCTTCTCATTCTCCACTTCCACCAACTGTATTATTTTCAAGCAAATCCAAGATATGCCATGATTTCATCTCAGAAAAATAATTCAAATGTCAAATATGAAAACTTTAAAAAGATCATGAAATGAGCCATTGAGTCATGATTCTGTTAATCTTATCCATTTCTAAAATGTTTCTCCATCAAAACAGAAGAGGAAAAAGGCCACAAAGGGTGATATTCCCTGGGGACATTGCTTTGTCCTAGAACTGGGAGAAAATAGTTGTTTAGCTCAGCAAACTAGAGCAGATTGGCCAATGAGCCAACTATGGCCTGCTGTCTGATTTTTCTTTAATTTCCTGAGATCTAAGAATGGTTTGATATTTACAAATTGTTGAGAAAAATTGAAAGAAGGATAATATTTGTGACATATGAAAATTATATGAAATTCAAATGTCAGTGTCCAAAAATAAAGTTTTATTGGAACATAGCCACACTTAATCATTTGTGTATTAGCTATGATTGCTTTTACCTACTGTGGCAGAGCTTAGTAGTTTTGAGGAAGACCATATGTCCCAAACCCCAAAATATTTACTCTCTGACCCTGCAGAAAAAAAGTCTGCAGACTCCATCTGTGCTTTTGAGGGCACATGTGGTCCAGCACCATGGACAGCGTTTCCGCATGCTATTTCCTTTGCAGGGTGATGCTATGATCTGAGAACAGTGTACCTGGGTGGAATGCTGTTACAGAGGGAATTGCTTGGTCCAGAGATGCCAAAGCGTTAGCCAAGACCACATAGAGAATCAGGAGCTCTATTCTACCTCCCTTACTGTAAGACAATGGGTGGGTGTGTGGTTAATGTTTCTGTTTTCACGTGCCCAGCCACCATCCGAACTTCCTCTGAGTTCTCTGTCTTTTTCAACTCTCAGTTCAGTGAAATGAGTAAGGCTGGCTGCTATTCCCTGAACCCACGAGTGGGCTCTGATTCAAGCCAGTCCAATTGATATATTCTATTGCCTTTTTTGTTTTGGTTTGGTTTGATTTGATTTCTTGAGACAGGCTCTCACTATATAGTTCAGGCTGGCTCTAAGCCTGCTATGTAGCCCAAGCTGCCTTCAAACTCCTGGAAATCCTTCTGCCTCAGCCTCTTGAGTGCTGAGATTACAGGTGTGTGCCACTATATCCACCTACTATTCCCTGCTTTGATGACTGGCTCAACAATTATTATATGACCCAAGCTAGACCAATGTGTCAGTGTTGGGCATTTAAAGCTATTGGGAAAGAGGTATTCTGTTTCTTTGAAGATTTCTAACCTAACAGGATACCAAGCTAGACTTGCTGGGAAATCTTTAGGGAAGAAATTTTGTGTTCAGCTGATCCTAAAGACAATTCTGTCTCTTAACTTTTCAACTGAGTAAACAAAAAAAATATTTTCTTTCTAGCTGCTTAACCAGTGTGGTGGAGGTGGCTAAATCTCCAAGGAAATGCACCCCTTTTTTCTTCCATAAGAAGAGAATTGTAGTTAGGCATGTAGCTGTCACCTAAGACTACATTTCCCAACCTCCTTTGCAGTTAGGTGGGGCCAAGTGACTAAGCTTTCACAGATGAGTGTGTACATCTTCTGGGCTTGGACCATAAGGCTGGGTTGTGCCTCTACCACATTCTCTTTTTCCCTTTCCCTCTAGCTGAAACCTCCAGTGAATCTGCCCATTCACACAGATCAGGCCAATGGAAGTGGTAAGAGATGGCAAAGGAACACAATGAAAAGAATTTAGGTTTCAAATAACCATGTACAGCAGAGCTCACCTTTGATAGCTATGTAAGAAAGAAACAGACTGTTCTCTCTAGGCCCTGGACTAAGCAGGCCTCTTTGTCACAGCAGCTAGCTTACACTAATACCATAGCATATAGTGCTCACCAGCCTAGATAGGGTGGTGACACAAATCTGCTCACCATGTGCACTTCATCATAAGGGGGTCCCCAGGCTCCTGGTGGGGCATACATTCTCTCCACCTCATCATACAGGTGCTCAGGAAAGGCCACATCCTCCTCTTCAAAACCTGTGAAGCCTGGAGTTGGGGTAGGAAGTTAGAGAATCAGGGCACCCAGCCTATATGGCAGGAGTACCTTGGGATGCAGAAGTCTTGATTTTTCACAACTCACCTTGGGTATAATCCACTTCCTCCAGTGTGGGGGGCAGCTGGGGGCTGAAGTCCCTCAAGGAGTGGTAATATGGCTCTATTTCTGTTGTGCTAACCTGTCACATGTGCATGCACACAGAAAAACAAGTCTTCTCCACAGATCCAAAAAAGGGAAATGGTTAACCTGAAGCTATTGGTGGAGTCTGTCACTCCCTGTCAGTGAGGCTGTCCAGGCCACCCCTCTCACCGTGGAACTTCGAGTGTCCTGGTCCCCAGTCCACTGGCTCTCCTCATATTCATTCCTGACTTGGTCCTCCGCCGACCTTCCATGATGGAGATGGCAGTTGGGTACTGACTTTCTGCCATCTGTCACCCCCAACCTCTTCCCTCAGAGTCTTGTTTACAGAAAACATGCCCACTTACACTGCTTCTGTCTTCTCTGAGATACCTGAGAGAAATAGGGAAAGGGTCAGAGCCCACCCTGTCCCAGCTCACCTGGCCCTGGAGAAACCTTCACTGTGCAGTAGCCTAAGGGTCTCCATCAACCCTGGGTCTCTATCCCATCAGGAAGGAGGTCTTTACTCACCCTCAGCAAGATGCCTCAGTTTTCGCCACCAGAGGAAAACCCCAACACATGAGGCATTGGAGAGCAGCAGAAGACCCCCAACTGCAAACAGCACAGGCAGCAGGGGCAGTCCTGGGGGTTCTGGAGGGAAGATCCCCTCAGTGACCCCAGTCAATGAGCTCTATGGCAGGAGCAGACTCTTAAGAAAGCCCATCTCTAGCTGGGTATAGTGGCGCATGCCTGTGATCCCAGCTATTTGAGAGGCTGAGGCAGGAGGATTGCAAGTTTGAAGCCAGCCTGGACAATTTAGTAAGACCCTGTCTCAAAATAAAAACAAAAAGGGCAGCCAGGCATGGCAATGCATACTTGTAATCTCAACACTTTGGGAGGCTGAGGCAGGAGGAGCAAAACTCAAGCCCAATCTGGGCAACTTAGTGACTTAGAGAGATCCTGTCTCAATAAAATATTTTAAAAGGGTTGGGGATGTACTTTAGTGTGAAGGCCCTGGGTCCAGTCCTCAGTACTGAAAAGATTAAAAAATTTTTAAAATGTTCTGGCAATGTAGCTCACTGGATTCAATCCCTAGTAGTGAAAAGAAAGAAAAATTGTGCCTACTAACCAAACCCTCTCCTTCAAGGCAAAAAAAATAAACAAGTGGGAGTCTCTTTTCTCACCCTTTTTTGCTGCCCCAAGGGAAGTGGCTCCTTTCCTACCTTCCCCTGAGCAGTGGCTATACATATCCCCCAGCCTTACCCACTGATCATTGACCCACACAAACTAACCAGCAGCAGTTTCCAGCATCACTGAAACAAACTCATACCTCTGAGCCTTAGAATAATCGAGCATCTGGCCTCAAAGTTTTTTCCTCTCAAGTCCACTGCTAGTAACCCTGCAGATTCCATAGCAAGGGACTTATTTCCACCAACTTTCACCCCAGCGAGTATCAGGCTGCCATATCCCTGAGAACAGAGACCTCCTAAGTAAACATCTGCTTGGCATCCAATTCTGTTTCTTGTGCTCATAGCATTTGTTTTCCTTTGGGGGAACAGCCACTTTCCAGTCCCTGTGGCCCACACAGGACTCCTTGATGGGCACATGGCCTAGCCTGGCTGATAAGATCACCCATCTCCCTTTCTTTTGGTTCAGAGACTGGCTTTGACCCAAGGTGGCTTTTTGCCACAATAGTTAGGATACTTCTGCAGGATGCTAAGAGATGCAGTGAAAGCTGAAAGTGTAGGAGGACTTCTCCCCATTCCCCTTGCAGTGCTAGGGATTGAACCCAGGTCTTTCACATTGAGCTATGTCCCAAGCCTTTTAAAATTTTTAAAAATTTGGAGACAGGGTCTTGCTAAGTTGTCCAGGCTGGGCTCAAACTTGCAATCCTTCTGCCTCAGCCTCCTAGAGTGCTAGAATTATAGGCATGTGGCACCATAGCTGGCTCCTTCTTTGCCCTTTTGAAGGAAAAACCTGTGAAAGAAGCTGCCATAGATGAAGGGCAAGCTGAGAGATATGAGAAACAGACTGCTGGTGAGCAATTTGAGGACCTAAATCTAGCCACACCTGGAATTTTCAATTTCATTAACCAAGCAATTCTTTTTAGTACCAACAAATTTAGTGCTGAATTTCTGTCACTTGTCACCTTCCTTTCAAACTCCGAAGGAGCCAAATGTTCACAATTCCCCTCCTGTATCCATTCTTGGGTCATCCTCTTCCACAATGACTTCACTGAGCCATGCAGGACAATAATAAATGTGACAGAAGTAGACTCTTGGAGCTTGCTAGTAAACTGAAGCTTGTCCTTCCTTGCAGTGCTTGTACATCTGTGACCACTTCCATGTGAACAAACCAGCGAGAGGCACATGGCCTTTATCTCCAATGTCCCAATTAAAAACCAGGTGACTATCAGGCACACGGCCCAGTCCAGCTGCCAGCTGACTGTAGAGATGATTCAAACCACCCCAGACCAGAACTGTTCTGCTGAGTCCAAAGAATCATGGGAAGTAATATGGCTTTTCTATAAGCACTTTTATTTGGGGTGGTTTGTTATGCAGCTAAAGCTAACTGATACAGCTTCCTCCCAGAGTGTGAACTCAGCTAATTGTTTTAGAACTGAACTAAATCAGGAAGAAAAAGAATGTATCACTCTAGGCAAGAGGAAAAGCTAAGGATGAAGCAAGAGTCTGCAGGAACGGGGATGAGTCTTAAGTAGCTGCAACCAACAAGGAATAGGAGATGGAATAAGTGACCAGAAGGTTCCACTCTCAGGGGAGGGGGTGGAACTCAGAGGACTGAGGACTTGCCTGCAGGGTGCTCTGTAGGCAGCTGGTCATCAGGTTCTCCAGAAGGCTGGTCCAGGCCTGGGGAATGGATATAGAGATTGTGAATTAATTCTAAGAATCTGAGATAAGCCTTAAGTATTTCTTAGCCTCTTATTAAGCTTTTCAGCTTAGAGACTCATGGGAACTAGCTTGTATGGCTTCTTATTTCAAAGGAATATTTCAAAGATAGCTGGAAATTACTGATGATAATGGCAATACTATTAATAGCAATTTAAAGGTCAATAATAATGATGAATTATTATTCAGTGTTTTATGATGTGTGCAAGGTCCTTTAACTTGTACTATCAATTTGTTGCATTAACAACAACAAAAAAGATGGGCTCTTAGGATTCCTTAACAGAGGTACAAATTTTAGAGCAAGGGAGGTGAGGTGAATGTAGTACTTTATGTTCTAGTGCTAAAAGGCAAGACTGGAATGAGAAGGGAAAAAAGAAAAGCAAAAAGGAAGATTGTAGGAATAGGAAAGGGTCCTTACTTCCATGCAGAAAAGGCTGCTCCACTAAGCTGCTCCTCCAGACAAAAACGGGGGAGCTTTAAGGGAGCTTTCACAGGCAACGGAAATAGAAGGGGAACAAGGGGCATTTCTTTAAATTAACATTTCCATAGGGCCGGGGATGTAGCTCAGTAGCACCCCACCTGCCTCACAAGCGCAAGGTCCTGAGTTCGATCCCTGGTACCATTAAAAAAAATACATATTTACTTGTACTGGCCCCATTTAAGAACACTTTAGATATATTAAATCATTTTCAACCTCAGGATGGTCTGAGATGAACCTTGCTTTCAGAAACTGGGGCAGAGAGCTCTGTCAGATACCTTCTTTGCAGAAACTGAGGCACTTGCCTGAGCCCACAAAACTAGAAAGTGTTGAGGGATGGCAGAGATATGAATCCAGACTTCTCAGAAACAGGCCTGTGGGATTAACTGCTCCACTACAGTGCCCTTCAGAATCACAATGTGCTCTTTAGTCCTGTTCAAGGAATTTGCCCATTTCATCAGACTGGCTGAATTTTTATTCATAATGTTTCCTGAATAACCTCTTCATGTTTGCAGGGCCAGTATTAATGCCTTCTCTTTCATTTCTGATATTGGTAAGCTGTGTCTCTCTTTGGTTTTAATCAGTTTTATAAATTTTTGTTACTCATTGTTTTTGTTTGGTACTGGGGATCAAACTCGGGTCCTTGTGCTTGCGAGGCAGGAGGCAGAACCACTGAGCTAAATCCCCAGCCCCAGTTTTATAAATTTTATTGATTTTTTCCAAGAACCAGTTTGCAGTTTTCACTAACTGTGACTTCTTGTCTATTAATGTCTGCTCTTCCTCATTTCATTTCTTCTGTTTGCTTTGGGTTTAAATTGCTCCTCTTTTTCTAGATTAAGATGAAAATTTATAATGTCCAGTTGAGGCCTTTTCCAAATCTAATGTCAATACTTATGGAAATACAATGCCTTGTATTTCCCTCTAAGCACTGCTTTAGGTGCACCTTCTAAATTTCTGTTTTCATTTTCATTCAATTCAAAATTTTTGTCTCATTTTCCTTTCCTTTTTCTTTTTCTTTTTTTTTTTCAGTACCTAGAATTGAACTCAGGGCCTCTCACTTGCCAGGCAGGCGCTGCATTGCTGAGCTACATCCCTGGCCCAATTCAAGTTATTTTGTAATTTCCTTTGGTCAGTAATCATATTCAGACAAGATGGACTAGTGGGTAAAACCTGGTCTCTGAAGCTCATCTGCCTGAGTTTCAATCTTATCTCCAACCTCTTCCTAGCTGTGTAACCTAGGTCATTTACTTAATTTCTCTGGATTTCAGTTGATTCATCTGTAAAGGGGAAACACAAGAGTATCTGCTTCACTACACCCCCCTCATAGGTCTTCTGGGGAATTCCCCAACCTGCCCAGGACTGTCCCTTCCCACCTGGGGTGGTGATGGAGAGCTGGGTCCCCTCAGCAGCTAATCCACTGTCTCCCAAGGCATTGCTAGCCAGCAGCCAGACCCTGTATCGTGTGGAAGGCTGCAGCCCGGTCAGTGTGAAGGTGGTGGCCTGAGGTGGTAGGACATCCACGTAGAAAAACCCAGGAGTCTCCAGTGCCTCATACCTGCATGTCAGGGAGGAGTCAGTTCAACCCCACAGGCTGCCACCCCTTACTTGCCTCGACAGTGACTCACCTGATGTGGAACCTCTGTGGCAAACCCCCATCAAAACCATGCTTCCACTCTAGTCCCACTGAGTGGGGAGTCAGGCTCACAACCTTCAATCCCAGTGGTGGGTCAGGGCGGCCTTTGGGCAGAAGTATGGGAGAAGGAGTCAGAGGATACAAAAAGAAGGTTTCATCCAGGCTTTTACTAGGAGTGATTTTAAATATACTGTTGACTTTAGCCAAGTCTGGTGGAGTACACCTATCATTCCAGTACTCTGGGAGGATGAGGCGGGAAGATCACAAGTTCAAATTCAGCCCAGGCAACTTACTAATTAGTAAGACACTGTCTCAGATTTAAAAATAAAAAGAGCTGGGATATAGCGCAGGGCAAAGGTCCTAGGTTTCATACCCAGTATTACAATGAATAAATAAATAACTGAGTTGATTCTATATATTCATGATCATTATGTTCAATAAGATTACTATGAGTGCTAAATTAGCAAATACCAAACTGTCATTTCTAGGGGAAATGCAGGGTTAGGTTCTTTCAGACCTCTCTCCTACAGCATTTTCACCAACCAATCAATACATGATCTTGTTTTATGTGTGTTTCTGTTAAAGATATCTTCTTTAATGTATACTGTTGGCTCACTCGCATTGAACTCATGACCAATAGCGCTATCACCTGGGCCCAAATGAGACTTATGTAACGTATTTTTTCTGGAAGGCACATCACAAGTTTATTTTGCTCAGGATGCTAGATAACATCTCAGCTTTGTGCTTGGGGACACAGCAAAAGCAACAACAAAAAATATAAAAGTGTGAAAAGGGGCACTAAATAAACCAGAGAAAGGACATTTGTCTAATGTACGAGACCTGCAACAAGAAGGCAGAATGACATCTTGTTCAGCCTCAGCTAGGAACATGCACATCAGGTGATTCAAACTATTCATCCCTCTGTACTTGTGTCTGAGTGACCACAAGAGCCCTATGAGTATTGGTTTGGAGATTACAAAAAAATTTTAGCAAATGCGTGAATTTGAAAAAAATAAGAACAGACTATACATTATGTATACTTCATTGGAGTGGATTTTTGTGTGTATGCCAGTCTCACATCCATTCCCTTCATTTCTTCTAGTTATTAACACCTTGCATTTCCTTTGGAAAACCATCTTTCACATTCTCAGGCCATGTGCTTGTGATGGAAGTAACCCCAGTCCGAGTAGGATGAACACGTGACCAGTCCTGACCAATCAGAGTGTTGCCCTCCCCTGGACCAGATGCTTGGTTCAGGGATGAGCTGGAATCCAAATAGAGCCAATGAAATTTAATTCTAGAATTCTCACACACCTGTTAGGAACAGAGAGAATTCTATTTCCTCTAAAAATTCTAACAGACCACTATGAGGAGGCTTAAAATAAAGCCAACCTAAGAAATATGCAGAAGTTCCTGATGACAATTATCCCTAGATTCAGCAAGTCTTCAAAACTCACCTTTCAGTTACTTGAACCAGTAAGTTCCCTACCCCATCTTTTCACGGCAGGCAAAAACTCCCTCCTCATTCATAAACATCTCTCAGGTGTCAGGACACTTTGCGGTTGGGGCCAACTAGGGACTTGGGAGTGGATCCATGGGGTGCCCCCAGTATCCTCCCAGCCCCCACTCATCATACTAATGCTGACGAGCTGAATGTTGGTGTGGTCCGAGCCAAGGAGGTTGGTGGCTGTGCATGTGAAGAGGGCATAATCCTGGGCTGCAGACACATTCGCAATGGTCAAGAGACTGCTATGGACTCCACCCTGGTGGTATGTGTGCTCAGTGTACCTAGAAAGAAGGGGCACACTCACAGAGGGGAATTGGGGCTGGGGAACCAGAGTTTGGGCCGGAACACTGCCTGCCTGGGCCTGTGCTCACCTGGGATCTTCGAGGTCCAGAGGGACTCCATTTTTGGTCCAAGTGAAGACAATGTTGGGGACACCCCGAGCACGGCAGTGGAGGGTGGCAGAACTGGTGCTGTCCCCAGCTGCAGCCACTTTAGTTAGGGGAGTGGGATGCTCCACCTGGGGGGCAACTAAGACAGACAGACTAGGGGTGGTCAACATGAAGTATGTGGGAAGACATGAAAGAAGTGGGTTACTGGCAGGCCTAAAGTCTGGGGTTTGGGTATTACTCACATCTGACCACAAGACGGACCAGGCCTCGGGCTGGAGGTGCCACGCCATTGTCCACAATGCACTGGTAAGCACCTGCCTGGGCCAGTTTGGCATGGTGAATCCTCAGACGCCCTGTGGACCCCTTTGACATTGTCTCTGTGTCATCCAGGCTCTTGTCTTCCTCATCTTCCCCCTGGAGACCCAAGACTGGGAGTTGGCCCCTAGTCTGGCCTGAGATCCCATCATCCCCCAAACTATGTCCCATTGCAGCCTCACTCTCCCAGCTACTATCACCTCCAAAGAGCTATTAAAGTAAAAATTTCTCCCGTCAATCATCCAACCACTTATTCAATTCAGCCATTCCTCCACCAATCAGCCAACCACTCATCCATCCATTTATCTAACCATGCATGCCTCGAACAGCCTGCCCACCCACACAGACATCAGCCCACCCATTCACTGAATCATTTATAGGCTGAGTATGCAGCTTAGTGGTAGAGAGTTTCCATAGCATGACTGAGGCACCATCAAAAAACTCTATCTAAGAGAAATCTATCTATTCATCCATTTATCTTTCCACCCGTCACTCACTCATTCATTCAATCATTTGTCTTGTTTCTATGCACCCATATATCCATTCCTACAACTCCCTACCCATTCACCCTATCTATTCACTCATACATGTACACATTCACAAATACATGCATCTGTTCAGCCTTTTATCCAGCTGCCTGTTTATCCTTAACTGCACAGATCTATCCATCCCTTGATCCAACCATGATTCTTCCAGACATGTTTCTACTGATGGTGTACCTACCCACTCATCTACCCTCTAATCTGATCTATCTATCCACTCACTGCTTTCGTCCCATCATCCACCCATCCTTTCACTTTCATTTCATCCTTCACTTCACTCTTTCATCCACCCATCTACCTATCCACCCATCTGTCCATCCACCCATCTATCCATCCACCTACACACTCACCGAACTATTCATTCATCCATCAATTCATCTGCCATTAAACAAAGAGTCACTAATTCCTGGGGCTTACACCACAAGGTCACACAGATGTGGCCCCCACTCCCAAACACCTTACCTTCAAAAAAGCCACACCACTTCCCCCTCCTCCATTCACCAGACCCTGGGTCCTCACCAGCCTCTCCCAGTTGAACATGTTTGGGAGGATGGGATTGGCATCAGCGGTGCAAACTATGTCCACAGAACCCCCAACATCCACTTCAGTAGGGTCCTGGAGGGCACGGATGGTGGGAGCATCTGTGGGGAAACAGGGGATTGGGGAAGGCACTCAGGCCCAGACAGGCCATGGTGGGAGACGGCTCTAGGTAGGAGAGGTGTCTTACAGGTGACCCCAAAACTTAGGAGTGTCGACACAGTTTGTCCCTTGTGTGGAGTACTTGGAGGAGAGTTCTTAGAGATTCTCAGGGTTAGTGAGGTTGTCCCCATCCTCTACTATGCCTCCGTAATAACTGTTGGACAAGCTGGAATCATGGAAAGATGGAGCTTCCACAGTGGGTATGGTTTCCTGAAGGTGGGTCCCCTTTCTGGATAGAGTTTCTACACTGGGTCTTTCTAGTGGATGGGGGTTCCAAAGGTAGGAAGGTTTTAGGATTAGTGCTTATCCCTGGGTGGGTAGAGCTTCTATATGGAGGAGACCCCACAAGTGGGCAAGCTTCCTTGGTGGGTGTGGCTTCCAAGGTAGGCGGGACTCCCAGAGACCCTAGTTTCCTAGAGCTCTGCAGGGGCTCACAGTGCACATCCAGCCGCACCAGCGCTTCCGCAGTGCCCTCCGCGTTCTGGCAGTGGAGCTGATAGAGGCCATCGTCAGAGCGGGTCACATTCCATAGCTGCAGAGCCCCGTTGGACAGGATGCGATGCCGGGGGCCGCCAGCTGCAGAAGGCCAGGTTAAGGGGCTAGCAGGCCCTCCTACCACTGGGGACCTGCACCCCTCTGTAAGCCCACTGCCTGCACCTGGGCTGAGGCGATAGCCACGGAAGGTCCAGTTGAACGCCTCAGGCGCGGGGTTAGCGGACACGGACACAGGCAGCAGTGCCTCGCCTTGCTCCACTGCGGTCACCACCAGCACTTGCTCCCCCAGGAACTCCGGGGGGTCTTCAGAGGGGCCACCACAGGGAGTCAATAGTGGTAAGGGCAGAGTCAGGGGTAGAGCTGAGGTCAGGGACAAGTTCAAGGGCTAAAGTAGAGGTCACTACTAGGACTAAGGTTGTGGACAAGGTAACAATGTCTGAGCTGAGCTCAGGAGTAAGGTGCAGGATGGAAATTAAGATCCAATTTAGAAAAAGGATAGGAGCCAAGGTCAGGTTTTAGGATGGAGAGAAGGGTCAAGATAGGGATCAGGATCATCACAGAAGGCAAAGTAAGAGGGGGGTTCGGCAGGATAGGTGTTCGTGCAGGGTCAGGAGAAAGGTTAGGATGTGTCAAGATTCAAGACAGGGGTCAAGGACGTGTCAAAGGGAAGACGAGTAATTTAGTGTGTGTGTGTAGGGATAAAAGGGTTCAGGTCGGCGCACATACATAGCACGTTGAAGCGGTAGAAGGAGCTCACGGTTTCGCGGAGCTCTGCGCTGTGGGCTCGGCAGGTCACGCGGTGGCCGTGATCGCGGGATGACACCCGCAGAAAAACGCTCCTGGAGGCAGGAGAGCCTTTGAACGGGGCGTTCTGAGGCGGTGCGGCCATGTCTTCCAGCCTGTGGTCCAGGCAGAGAATTGGGTTGGGCAAGGGTGGGCGTGGTCAGGACCAAGTGGGCGTGGTAAGACCCGAGAAGGGCGGGGCCTTGCACACTCACCTCTCCCCCTCCTTGTCCCAGGACAAGTTGACAGGGGGGTTGCTGCTCACGCTAACGCACGTTAAATTTAAGGGGTCCCCGGGACGCAGTACTGACACGTTGGCCAGGATCGTCAAGTTGGTTGGGGGAACTTAGAGAGCAGGTCGGAGGAAAGCGGCTCAGAAGTGAGGTGACCTGGTCCAGTCCCCAGGCCTCCCCCAGCCTGGGGATCCCTGTTGGTCCCGCCCCACCCGGCCTGGCTCAGACACCGCCCCCTCCCGGGCCCCGCCCCGCCCCGCCCCGCCCCACCCCCCCCCGTGTGGGCCCTCACACAGCACCACTATCTGCGTGGACGCGCTCAGCTGGCCCGCCTTGCAAGAGAACTTGGCCTTGTTGTCCGGAGGGCCTAGGACCAGCACCAGCTCGCGGGAGAAGGTGCTCCCGGACTTCTCCAGATTTCCCAGCTGCACCCGCCGTGGCTCCTGGGCCGGCCGCGGCTCCATCACGGTGCGCGAGTCCTGAGGACCGGACAGAGCTGGGGGACCGGGAAGCCCCGGTTCCCTACCCAGCTCGGAGACGCCCCCATGGGGTCGGAAGGCACCCCTATCAACGGGTGCCCCGCCAGGTAAAGGTGTGCGACTGCAATTGAGCATTCCCAGCCCGAGTCTTTCCCTCCTCCCCAGGGCCTCCTGTGACCCCAGGACTGCCGCTAACCCTAGCCCCCAAGTCTATAACTGCGCGATTTGCCAAACACCGTGTGCCAGGAAACTCCCTTGAAATTCCCAAACCTTGCGCAAAATTTCTTCTTTTTTCATTTTATGCTTTGTTCTTGTTCTTAAAAATTCCCACTTTCCCCAAAGGAAATTTTTGAGGGACCTTTCCATTAATTCCCTTAATTCCAGTGTCTCTTCACAGATTTCTGAATCCTTCCCCCATAGTTCCTTATTGGTCTAATCTTTTACTAGAATCCTTTGGGTTGCCCAAATTATAGGCATTTTCTCAGAATTCTTTCCAATTAAAATGTAATTCCATTGTCATACCTATAATCCCACCCCGGAATTTCCAGTAATGCCCTGACTTCTCACGATTTCCCCAGAATTCTGTTAGATTTTCTTTGATTTTAAGGGAATTTCACTTTCTAATGAATTTCAAGAATTCGGTTTAATATTAATAGATTTTCAATATTTTGTGGAATTACAAGTCTTTCCTCCAAAATATCTATTTTCTGTAGGTTATAACCTCTCCCTAAAATTCTTGATATTTCCCCTGAATTTCCTTTAATTTAAGTAGAAAATAATTGCTTTATCTGTATAGTTCCCAACCTTGACCCAGAATTCCTTCTTTTATCTAGAAATTGTGTTCCCAGAATTCCTAAAAATGTCCTAGGATTTCATTTAATTCTCATGGCACTTGTGTCTTTTCCAGTCCCATCCAAAACTGAGAATCTCCAGTATTTTTAAAAAAATTTGTGTCTTCCCAAGATTTTGAAGGAGAAGAGAACCTTCTCCTTCCCCCACATCCTGGCCACCCCACCCCACAGCCCTTGCCTGGCACCAACCTTGTACCAGGTGAGGGAGGGGTCTGGATTTCCCCCGATGGCCAAACACACCAGCCTCACCCGGGTCCCAGTCCGGAAGTGCTGCCCCTCTTGGGGTCCCTCAATCCACAGCTTCTGGGCAGGATCTGGGAGGAGAGGTGGGAATAATACTCTGGGATGGGGCCTAGGGAAGGTGATTTCAGGGGCCTGTGGCATTCCTGGCACAGGGTGGTGGCTCACATTTCACATTCAAGGTAAGAGACTTCTTGAAGGTCTCCTTGGTGAAGGCCTCACTGAAGGCTTCACAGGTGAGGGTCAGGCCATTGTCTTCCCGACGCACCAGCAAGGTTAGATTGGACATGGAGATGTGACCACCATGCAGGCCCTAGCAGGGAGCAAGCTTCAGACTTGGGGACTGAGGTGCCCCCATTATACTACCAGAGGCCTGGGTCCACCCTAGACCCCAGCGGGGACACATGAAACATCTCCACCTCCTCATCTCCCAGAGTCAAAGATCAGGGCTCTCGTCTGTGCTTCTCAGGGACTGAGACCTCCAGTCTGCCCGACCCTCCTTTCCCAGCTCCAGCTTTCATGCCCTCGCCCCCTTCTGCCTTGGACCTAGGGGCCTGGCCTCCTCCTCACATCCATGACTGTCTCCTCCGTGGGCTGCAGCTGCCGCCCACCCAGCCACCAGCGCAACAGGACCCTCGGGCGACTAGACTTTGTGAGGCAGCAGAGAGTCACATTCTTGTTCTCAGACTGTGATACAGATCCCAAGATGGTTACGGCACTGGGAGGAACTGCAGGACAGATGGGCAGAGGAGAGACACATGGCTGGGCAGGGGTCCTCAATTTTACCCCAGACAGACAGGGAGTGGATGGGGAACAAATGATGAGGTCTTTGACATCAGGTAGGCATGATTTGGGGGCACAAACAGATGGTTTGCTGGGACGGGAGCTGGCAGATGGGCAGCTGACATCAGAACTCACAGGTGACCTGCAGGGTGATACTTCGTTCCTGGGTCCCTACAGATACACTGTTGTAGGCTTCACAGCTGATTCGAGCTCCATGGTCTTCTGGCCGCACAGTCATTGTGAGTACACTTCGGGCCGTGGCGTGGGTGAGCTCTGTCCCCCACGCTATGGGCACAGGTTGGCCATTCTGGAGACAAGGACGGGCCTAGACCAGCTCAGAGCCAGCTCCTGCCCCCTGCCCTCCCCCTACCACCACTCCTCCCTCCCTCTGTCCTCACCTTCAGCCACTGCAGTGTGGCTGGTGGGTTTCCCCCTCGGGCTGTGCATGGGAGCTCCAAGTTCTGCCCTGCTCTAACGAGCCCCTCGTTTAGGCCTGGCCATTCGATGACAGGAGGTCCTGGGGGAACTGGGGAGCAGCAATCACTCAATAGGCCTGGGAAGCCCATCCATTCTTTCTAGTCACTATGGTCTGCCTCAACACAGGGTCTCTCTATGTAGCCCAGGCTGGCCTTGAACTTGTGGTGATCCTCCTGCCTCAGCCTCCTGAGTGCAGAGATTACAGGTGTATGCCACCATGTCTGACACTCCATAGTTTTTCTATGTCTGAATTTTCCATAATCCGTGTGGTTCTTCAGGACCCTCAAATACTGATTTCCACCCTCAGTGTCCATGATAGCTCAGCTGTCCACTTACACAAAACATTCATGGTGATTGAGGCCTTGATGGGGCTGACCAAAGCTGGACTGTACCCCTCGCAGATTAGTAACTTCCCATTATCCGAGCTCTGAGGTGTCACCCTGGGTTGAAAAATTGGGGTTCTAGAATCAGAGTCATCATCTGAAATTTAGGGAGGCAAGGTCAAGAGGTAGGATCCTCGGTCCCCTTGCCTGGTCTCTGTCTCCCTACTGGATTCTTCTAAGATCTAGAGTTTCAAGGAAGAGATTCAGGGCTTTGACAGTAAGAACTAGACCCAAATCTTTGTGTCTGATACCCAAGAACTGGGGTTCCCATGACAAAATTTTGAGTGTCCAAGTGAAGAATTGGGTCTCCCCCCAAAAAAGAAGTGGGCCCCAAATACTTATCCCAACCCTAGTTCCATGTTTGAATTCCTGAAATATGGGACTCTCATGGGTCAGGCTCAAGAGAGAGGATGTCTCCAACCTGCACACCTGGCTGTGGCCTCTGTGATGAAGAGTTTCTCCTGGGACCCTTCGCTCACGTCGACAGAGATGCTAGATACTGTTTGTCCACCTTGGGGCAACAAGAAGGCTGGAGAGGTGCTGGGTTCCCCCTATGATAGATTCTGGGAAACATGGCCTGGAAGTCTTGGAGTGGATACGATGCCCCTTTCTCCTGGGGGTGCCAGCTGTGTCCCCTCCCTGCCTCATCCAGGACTCCCTGAATACCAGAGTCCACAGGGCAGAGTCCTGTGTCTCTCCCTTCTCCTCCCTTCCTGGTTGCATTCAGCATCCCCCATCACCTCCACTTCTCATTTCTGCACTGCCATCACCATCTGTATCTCACCTGAGCTTCAGCTTGTCCAGGGCCCCAGACCAGCATTGCTGCATTCTCCTGGATCCCTCCCCTGTAATCCCCTCCCATCCTGCAGGTCCCATACTGCCTCAGCAACACCCATGCCTGCCCCTAGGTCCCCATCTCAGGGATGACATATTTTCTGGGCCCCAAGAGGGCACTGGTCAGGAACACACCCCATCCCTACTCCATGGTGTCACACTGCCCCCTTCAATCCACGCACACTCACTCTGGAGGAAGGCGATGTCAGGTGCTGGCTTTGCATCCCCAGACACACAGCTGATCTCATACTCCTGCCCAGCTACCCAGGTGACTGTGGTCCCTGCCTCAGGGGTCAGCTGAAGCACCTTGGGCGGAACTGGAGAGAAAAGGTCTGGAGTAAGCCCTCACCTCTGAGAAGGACATGAAGATTTGGGTCAAGACTCCTTGCCCAGGAGATGAGTCCTGTACCCCTGAGCCCTTACTCCTGGGTCCTGGGAGACACGAGTCTCACCCATACCCAGGATGGAGAGGATCACTCTGGGAGACACGAGTTCAGGGCCTGTCTCTGAGCGGCCAACCTGGCACTCATACTCTGCGTCATCGCTGAGGTCACATGTTTCAATGCGCAGGTGGAATTCACCTATGAGTGGAGCCCAAGGTCAGGACCACAGCCTCTGCTGGTAGCTCAGGGCCCCAGGCTCTGATCCCTCACCTCTAGCAGGATCTCCTTCCATGCGGTATCTTGGGAAGCCTGGGATCCCTGGGCTGGGGCCTAACAGCAGGCCATCCTTGGCCCACTGTACAGCACTGCCAGGTGCACTGACGCCACACTTCAGCTCCACCGTGGCTCCCTCTACTGCCGTCAGGTTTTCAGGTAGGGCCCAGAAGCCTCGAGAGACTGAGTCAGAGATTGGCGACTGGGCCATACCTGGGGACACAAGGGGGCCAGAGGAAGGAACAGAGGGTCTGTCTAGGGGAAAATGTTGGAAACCAGAGCCAGTAGACACTGGGAACCAGAATTCCGCTCACCTGTGATCAGCAGCCCCATGAACAGCAGGGAAGCCCTGATGGGGATCCTCAGGGCTGTTCCAGTGCCTCTGACCATGGGCGTCACAGCATCCATTATCTGCCACCTGCTTCTGCCACTGTCTGTCTGTGGGTCCTTCATTCTGTGTCTCTGTCTCCTTTTCTTCTTTCTCTTCTTCCTCCCCCTCCTTCTTCCTCTTCTCTCTCTTTCTTCCCCTCCCCCCTCCTTTTCTCTCTGTTTTCCTCTCTCCTCAGGAGTGTCTCTTTGTATCTGTTTCACCCTTCCTCTGCTTTCTGTCTTAGGTTCTTCTCTGCCTCGTTCTCTATCTTTCCCTGTTAAATACTTTCTCTCCACAAGTCTCTTTTAATCTGCCACCCTACCCCGATGTGTGTGTGTCTGTTTCTCCCTGTTTCTCTCAATCTCTCTCAACAGTCTCTTTCTCTTTCTTTTCTCCTCTACCCCTGTCCTTGCTCTTCTCGAACCACTCACAGCCCCTTAACCTGCACTTGCTGCTTAGAGTCCAGTGGCCCTGTTAGCCCAGGAGAGCCAAGAGGCTGAAGTGTTCAGTGGCGGCACTGAGCCACTCCTTGGACCCAGCCTGAGCTTCCCTCCCATACCGCTGCTCCCCCAGGCTCCTGCTGAGCCTCCAGCTACAGCCACTGCCCATCAGGCTCCTCCCAGCCCAGCTAGAGCATGAAATCCCCTGTCAGCACATGCCAGGCATATCTTTGGTGCCTCCCCAAGCCCCTTGACCCTGAGGGCCTGGGAGAGCAGGTCAGACCTGGACTATCTCACAGTTCAGCATGGAGAGCAGACAGCTGGGCTGTGTGGGTGGATGGCTGCCCAGCTCTTCCCTGCCTGGATGTATGACCTTGGCAAGTCTCTTGCTTCCCTGAGTAGCCATCAGCCTCTCAGAAACATCAGGAATCTTTGCTTAGAAATGTGTGAGAGTGTGTGTGAACCTGGGAGTGTGTGGGAGGAAGGTGAAGCTATCTGATGGCATACAGGTGTGAGTGTACCTGTGAGTGTGTGAGCATGGGGGATGAGAGTGCAGTGTGATCTGGGAATACATGTGGAGTGTGAGTGTGTGTGAGAGCATCTTCAGCATGAGAGTGCAGAGTGCAAGGCACTCAGGGGGTGGGAATAAAAAACAGAATTCAAGTCTGCCAGCAGCCAGCGTGGGTGTCCTTTGGCAAAGGCCATCTTCTGTCCCTATTTCCATCTTCTCTATCTCTTCCTTCCTTCTCTGTGTGTCTCTCTATCCATCTTGATTTATCTTTCTCCATCCCTTTGAGATATCTCCCCCCCCCCATTAAATCTTTAGCAATGTCACTGTCTCTATGCCTCTACGTGTCTCTGTTCTCATCTTGATCACTCTGGCTACCCCACATTCTGTTTCTCACACACCAGGAGCTCAATAAATATTTCTCTGTCAGCCTCTGCCTGTGCCTCTTTCTCATTAGTTTCTCTAGCTTTGAGTCCTGATCCTCACATCCCTGCATTTTATAACCATATGCTGCCTGGCCTGGCCTCCCACCCCGGTGTGCACATACATACTCACATGGGGTAAGCTCCTTCTGCCTGCTTATCTCCTGCAGGAATTGCAACTGTTTGTTTTCTCCCCTTTCCTGAGACACCCCCCCCCCGCCCCCGCTTCCTGGTCCTCCTCCAGGAAAAAGATGAAGCATCTGGCCCCAGCCCCAGAAGTTCCACCCTTGATGCTCATCTCCGACCCCCCCACCCCCGTTATTCACTTCTTGCTTTCCTTCCACAGTCCCTTTCCCAACTGCCCCCCACACCTCCTGGGAAATAGGCTGGAGACAGACCTGGGGGGTTGTCATGGGACCCTTACCAGATGGTGTCCCTGGGGGCCAGGGTGTAGAGCTGTCAGTTGTAGGGACCTTTAATTAGCACAAACCTTCTATCCTCCACCTTGGCTGTTTTCCTTCTTTTTATACTCCTGGGACTCAGCTCTCCATTTTTTTATGCCTGTGGCCCCAGAGACCCAGAAAGGGGAAGCAACTGCAGGTGTCTGGAAAAACAGCCTCATCACCTGGCTTCCTCCTCAAGACACAGGAGTCCTAGACCCAAGCCCATCCTATTTCAAAATTCAAGCGCTGGATTCACCACATAGAAGCAGAATTTCAGGACCCCAAAATTAGGACCTCAGGACCTTCTCTCAGACCCAGCTGTCCAGATCCTCAGCCCTTCTCTCCAAGGACCCTGGAGTTCAGGTCTCCAATCCTCTGGCCTTCCCCTGGAATACACAGGACTTAGGACAGATGTTCACTGTTGATTTTCAAATCCTCCTGGGCCTGTGTGGGGGTGGGAGAGAGACTGGCGGTTAAATCCACTGGCTCTTAGAGTTAAGACCAGATATCCTGACCCTGGCCTAACAGCACCATGCTGCAGGCCTCAAGGTGTTCAGATCATCAGTGTCTCAGCCAGCAGAGGGCTGAATCACCAATCCCTTACAGCCCTGGAAGTCCAACCCACTGCCATTTAGGTAAGAAGGACCCCAGGGACATCTAAGAACCTGAATGCAGACTTTCAGTTGCTACAGGTCCAAGAACTGGCAGGCCCAAGGTCCCAGACCCCCAGCCCCTTCTGCAAGCTTAGGGTCCCTCCCACCTGCTTGGCCAGCTGCGCAGCGTGGGAACGCCCCAGCTGGGCTGCAAGGAGCCATCAGCACAAGCTGCGCAATTCCCAGCCTCCCGGGCTGCTAGAGCCGGGACACCCCCGCCTCCCAGCCGTTGCCGGGCAACCAAGGCCGAGGGGCCCAGTCAGCCAGTGAGAAGAGGGGCTGGGCCGGGACTTCGGGGTCCTGGGAAAGGAGGGGCTGGCGGCCCGGATTCCTAGATCTAAGGACGTGCTACGGTTTGCGACGATAACAAGGCAGCAGAGGGATTTTGAGAAGGAATTTTGAAATGTGGGGAGCTGAGCCCCCTTTTCCAGGGACCCCAGCTGGACTCTGGGACCCAGGTGCCCTCTCCCCGACCCTCAAGCCCAGGGGAGTACTGAGCCCCGCCTCCCCAGGGCGCGGAAACTGGCGGGGCTCCAGGGGCTCCCATTTATAGCTCTGTTTCCACTCAGTACGGTCCCTCCGGGACCCGGGCTGAGCAACTTTCTTCCACTCTCTCCCCTCCCTCCTCCTCACCCCTAGTTCCCCCCTACACACAACGACGGGACGCAGATGTCCAATGGGGGCAGGACCCCCTCTTTGGATCCAGGTGTTCCGGCTCCCAGACCCCAACCCGGCTGGGGCGCCCGCCCACTGAGCAGCCCCCGCCCTGCGCGCCCCATTCATCCGTGTCCCGGCCTCAGGAGTTTCTCAATGGGAAGAGGGTGGGTCTCCCAGGAGGCGGGCGAGGGCGGGGCGAGCGGGAGCAGCTCCCTCCACACCACCCACCCCTCAGGGTCTGGAAGCTACAGAGGATGCGGAACCGGCAGGCGTTTCAGAGCGTCGGAGGCTTTGGAGGAGTTTACTTCGGGACCCGGAACAGAGACTGGGGTCCGCAGCCGCTGTGCGCGAAGAGTGGGGCGCAAAGAGGGTGGTGAGAGGTGTGCCGCCCAGCGAGAAGTTGGAGGGAAGCCAGCGCGGCCCCACGTCTAGCGGGCCTTGGGGGACACACGATGAGGATGCTGGTCGGTGCCCTCCTCGTCCTCCTTTTCTGCTTCAGGGGGCGTGCAGGTAACCGGAGGGGGAGCAGACGGACACGGTTTGCGGGCCGCTGCTTTACCAGGGCTCGGACTGCTGCGTCTAAGCAGGAGCACTCCGAGTTTCTGATTCTGGGGGCTGGACTCCTGGGTCCTTGAATGAGAGAGTTTTTGAATATGCAAAGCTGAGCTCTGCTGTCCCCCATTCTCCTAGGTCTGTCGCCCCATTTCCTGAAACAGCCGGAGGACCTCGTGGTGCTGCTGGGGGAGGAAGCCTGGCTGCCCTGTGCTCTGGGCGCCTACAGGGGCCTTGTTCAATGGACCAAGGATGGGCTGGCTCTAGGTGGCGAAAGGGACTTGCCAGGTGAGGCTGTCCTCTGCTCGGGGAGTGGCTGGCACTGGAAGGGGGGCGGCTGCTGTATTTCAAATTGGGCTGTATCCGATGTTTCTGTCGTGATATTTTCAACTTCGGGAAATCAGTGGACTACAGTAAACAACTGGGAGTGAGATTTTTGAGCTGCTTCTTTGCAGGTGACCCATATTGTTTGGGGATATAAATGCAGAAAAGTTCAGTAAACCTAAATGGAGAAGTTGCCAAATAATTATAGATAGCCACACTAGATCATTGCCAGTTCCCCATAAGCCCCCTTATTCATCTTTCCCTATCATAACCTCGAGGTAGTACCTCATGTTTACAAAATTATTTTCTTGTTTTGCTTTCTAACCGCATGATCCTCAAGTTTGTAGTGTTTCTACCTTGGGAATGGGTTAGAGTCTCTCTGGATCCAGGGTATACTTCCCCCACCCCCCAACTCCAACCCAACCTTTGGTACTGGGGGTTGAACCCAGGGCCTTTGCACTGAACAACATCGCTAGCCTTTTTTAATTTTTAATTTTAAGCCATGGTCTTGATAAGCTCCCCAGGCTGGGTTTGAACTTGTGATCTTCTTGTCTCAGCCTCCCAGAGTGCTGATATTATAGGTGTGTGACACCACGCCCAGCTCAGAGCACACTTTGAAACAGTGTCTTCCTGTGGAATGTATGCACCAGTTTTCTGGTGAGGGATGTCTAGGTGAAGGCCTGGTGCCAGCTACTCAGAATCATGGTGTGACTGTCTCTTCCCTGATTCCAGGGTGGTCCCGGTACTGGATATCTGGGAATGCAGCCAGTGGCCAGCATGACCTCCACATTAGGCCTGTGGAGCTAGAGGATGAGGCATCATATGAATGTCAGGCTACACAAGCAGGCCTCCGATCTCGACCAGCCCAATTGCTTGTGCTGGGTGAGGATTCAGCCCACCTGTCTCTTGGGAGCCCAGGGAGACAGCCAGTATTATCTGGGGCTATCAGTTCAGGGTGCCCAGGGGGTGGTGGATTGGAGCTGAGAAGATCAGGATCTGGGGCCCCAGGATCCGATTCTGACCATATCTCTACCCTTCAGTTCCCCCAGAACCCCCCCAGGTGCTAGGTGGACCCTCTGTGTCTCTGGTTGCTGGAGTTCCTTCGAACCTGACCTGCCGGAGCCGTGGGGATGCCCGCCCTAATCCAGAGCTGCTGTGGCTCCGAGATGGGGTCCGACTGGATGGGACTACCTTCCACCAGGTCAGGTCCAAATCCTTTTGCCAACCCCTCCCCATCCAGTGAAACCTGGGGTCCATGCTGACCCCTGGTTCATCCAAAAGAGAAGGAGGCTGAGGTTCAGGGGTTGGTCCTCTTGAAATGTGATTCAGGGTGAGGGTCTTAGTGCCAGACTACTTCTGTCTCAACCACTTGCTAGCTGATTGGTCTCCAGTATGTTATTTAACCTCTCTGTGCCTCCATTTCCTTATCCATACAATGGGAACAATAGCAGTATGTACTTTATAGAGTACTTATAGGATTAAATAGAATAATACTTATAAGTGTCTAGAAGAGTGCCTGACACATAGTTAGCACTATTATGTCTAATGGGTAGATGAAGTCATTGTTATTATTCATACCCTCCAGATCCTGCTGAAGGAAGGGACCACTGGGTCAGTGGAGAGCACATTATTCCTGACCCCTTCCAGCCATGATGATGGAGCCACTTTGGTCTGCAGAGCCCGGAGCCAGGCCCTTCCCACAGGGAGGGACACAGCTATCACATTGAACCTACAGTGTGAGTTCAGCTGGCCTTAGGAAAAGGGGGTGGAGCCTGGACTCCTGGGTCTGAGGAAGGAGGGAACTGTGGGTCTAGGGCCCTTGAGGTAAGAGGAATCCAGGCCCTGGACTATGGAACATAGAGCAGGAGAGGACCAAAAGATGGCACAACGGGCCACCTGGGGGAATTGGGAGCTAGAAGCCCAGACTCCTGGCTCAAACGGAGAAAGGGACTGGAGATGCAGCTTCCTGGGGTGGAAGGACTGGGGAATGGACTGCGATGGAGGTGTTCCAGGTTCCTGTAGGCCAACAGTTCTCCCTCGGCACCCCCGCCCCCTGCCCGCCAGATCCCCCAGTGGTGACTCTGTCTGCTGAGCCACAGACTGTTCAGGAGGGAGAGAAGGTGACTTTCCTGTGTCAGGCCACAGCCCAGCCTCCTGTCACTGGCTACAGGTAAGGACAAAGACCTCTCTCCAGCCGGGAAAGTGCGGGTTTAGAGAGGGCTGGGACATCAACAGCATCATCACCTCCGCAGGTGGGCAAAGGGGGGCTCCCCGGTTCTTGGGGCCCGCGGACCAAGGTTGGAGATTGTAGCAGATGTCTCATTCCTAACTGAGCCAGTGTCCTGCGAGGTCAGCAATGCTGTGGGTAGCGCCAACCGCAGCACCGCGCTGGATGTGCTGTGTGAGCAGGGGCGGGGACATGGGTGTGGCCAAAGTGGGCCGTGGCTGGGGCGGGCTGTGGAGGAGAGGGCCCGGAGTAGTGATGCATGGCTGTAATTTCAGCATTCTGGGAAGCTGAGGCAGAAGGATCAGAAATTCAACCCCAGCCTAGACAATTTAGCAACTTAGTGAGACTGTAATAGATAGATAGATAGATAGATAGATAGATAGATAGATAGATAGAATAAAAATAGGCCAGGAATGCAGCTCAGGGACACAGCACCTGCCTGGCAATCACAAGGTTTTGAGTTCTATCCCCGGTACAAAAAACTAACAACCAACAAACAAACAAATAACCCCAAGTCTGGAGATGTAGCTCAGCAAGAAAGCCCTGAGTTCAATCCCTGGTACAAACAAAACAAACAAACAAATAAGAAAGAAAGTAGGCAGGGTTTGGCTGTACAGGTTCAGTCTGAAGTGGGCCAGGGGTGGGGCCAGGGCCTATAAGCGTGGACAATTAGTGGGAGGAGTGTTGTGGACTAAGGACCTATACTTGGGCCCTTGAGTTTTTTCTGAGAGGCTGATCCTTGGGTTGGGGGCTTCATTTCACCCTTGCCAAGTGACCCCTCCTCTACCTCCTCCAGTTGGGCCGATTCTGCAGACAAAGCCAGAGGCCACATCAGTGGACATGGGGGAAGATGCCTCCTTCAGCTGTGCTTGGCATGGGAACCCCCTCCCACGGATAACCTGGACCCGCCTTGGTGGCACACAGGTGAAGTCAAGTCAGGGGACCGTGGCAGTAGCTGGTGGTATACATGGCCTCCTGGTAAAGTCCTGCTTCTGATGCCCCTTCCTCGTCCCAGGTGCTGAGCTCCAGGCCCACACTGCGACTTTCATCGGTGGGGCCTGAAGATGCAGGCGACTACGTGTGCAGAGCTGAGCCAGGGCGCTCTGGCCTGGGGGGCGGTGCAGCGGAGGCTAGGCTGACTGTGAACGGTGAGACTGAGAGAATTTGGAGCTAGTGAGTGGGCAGAGAAGTCTAATGGGAGTGGGCTTGGCCTTGAAAGGAGAGTATAGATGGCAGAGTCTAGTGATTGGAGCTGGACCTATTGAAGGCTTGAGGGGGACCAGAGTATTTTGAGAAGCATGGCCTGTGGCCTGGTAGCTTGGGGTTAGCAGAGTACTCAGGTCTTGCTTTGTTCAGAATCAGCTTTGGGGAGGGAGAGCTCTTTCCTGAGTGGTTCATGATCTCCATTCCAGCTCCCCCAGTAGTAACTGCTCTGCATTCGGCACCTGCCTTCCTGAGGGGCCCTGCCCGAGTCCAGTGCCTGGTATTTGCCTCCCCTGCCCCAGAAGCAGTGGTAAGGAAAAGTCTCCCCTACCATGACCCACTCAGCCATGACCTCTGACCTCCCACTGGACCCCTGAAATGCCTCTGACTTTCTGGGCATCTTGTCAGCTCTTCCTCCCTCCCATCTCCTCAGTGATCTTGCTTTCCTTTTTTTGTTGTTCTTTCCTCCCCTTAGGTCTGGTCTTGGGATGAGGGCTTCCTGGAGGCGGGGTCCAGAGGCAGGTTCCTGGTGGAGACTTTTGCAGCCCCAGAGGGCCTTGGAGGTCAGGGTCCGGGCCTGATCTCTGTGCTACACATTTCGGGGACTCAGGAGTCTGACTTTAGTAGGGGCTTCAACTGCAGTGCCCGGAACCGGCTGGGTGAGGGAGGCACTCAGGTCTACCTAGGCCGTAGAGGTGAGACACTGTCCTCAGGACCCCAAACATGGGGATTCCAAACCCCACAAGTACAAGGATCCCCTAGGTGAGGCCCACAAATGCAGAGATCCCAAACCTTGGGGACCTCAAAACTATGGGTTTCTTGAATCCTGAGAACTCCCCAAACAACAAATTCCCTCAAATACAGAATCCTAAACTGAAAGACCCCTAACATTTGGGGACCCCACGAAAAGCAACCTATAAATATGGGAAGCTGCAAAATAAAAGACTCCTCAAGTCCTAAGACTCCCTAAAGTCAGGGAGTTTAAGCTTCCATATTCTCACACTTGTGGAACCCCAAATTCATTCATCCTTAAACCACAAACTAGAGAACTAAAAACCTTTGGAATCCCCCCATTGGTGAACTTTTGAGCCCAGGAATTACCAAACCCAAGCCTAGAGTCTCTTTCCCAGTTGTGGCTCAGCCTTCTCAGGGTTCTCCTTCTGCTCCCTACAGACTCACTTCCCACTGTGCGGATTGTGGCTGGAGTAGCAGCCGCAGTCACGACTCTTCTTATGATCATCACTGGGGTGGCTCTCTGCTCCTGGCGCCATGGCAAGTGTCAGTGCCTAAGCCCTGCCTCTGCCCCCTATCCGCAAACCCCAACCCTCCAGCCCCACATGCCCTGGCCACCAGTTCCAGTCCAGGCTCTAGCTCTGCACAGGGCTAGGCTCACCTTCATGCCCTAGCTCCCTCCTCAGTATTAACTCTGCCTTTTCAAGGTCATCCATACACACTCCAGGGTTCTTATTGGTTCCTAGCTTTCCCAGTGATCAGCTCAGTCCTCTCTCTTCCCTACTATTGGTCTCCACACACTGTGACCCTGCCTGTTTGCTTACCTCCACCTCTGTCTGGGCCTTAGCCTCTTTCTCCAAGCAAAAGAACATGGTTCGAATCCCAGGAAGCAGTGATGGCTCCAGTTCACGGGGCCCTGGGGAAGAGGAAACAGGAAGCAGCGAGGATCGGGTAAGATGCAAGGGTCCCCAGATCCAATAATATCCTAGTCCAGCTCTACCCCCAAACTCAAATATTGCCCTCAAATATTCCCCAAGTCCAAAGGCCAGGGATTTAGCTCAGTGGTTCCACCACCTGCACCACAAGTGCAAGGACCTGAGTTCAATCCCTGGTACCAAAAAAAAAAAAAAATTCCTCAAGTCCATATGTGCCCCGACCACTGATTCCTTAGGCCCAATATGTCTCCACCACCCTCTTGTTTGCTGAGTCCAGACCTCAGCCCAGGTGCTCCCAGGGATCCCTCCTACCTGGCCTCCAGTGCCAGGCTGAAGGTCCTCAGAGTGTGAACCTGGGGCAGGAGGATCATCTGACAATTCCTTCTCACGGTGTTCTCTACCTAGGGTCCCATTGTGCCCAGTGACCACAGTGACCTGGTTCTGGATGAGAAAGAGGCTCTGGAGACCAAAGTGAGTGTTGAGGAGGGAGGGTCCCTTCGTTGTGTCTCTAACTCTCTGCTCCTCCTTTTTCATTACATTGTCCCAGGAGTAGGACCTAGCCCCTCTCCTGCCCCCTGGGCCATCTCATCTGGCTCCATCACAGTCATATTTCAGGTCTCCTAAATGTATCTCCTTGGACAGCCCTGCTCCCTCTGGAAGTCCCATCTGGCTTTGTCTCCCCAGGCCTGTTCCCTCTTTGGAGTCCCATCTCAATACAGCCCTTGATTCCAGTCCTTTTTCCTCTGCACTTGGCCTGAAACCCTCCCTTCTCATATCTATCTAGTTCCCTCCTTTATTCTTCTGGTCTCAGCCCAGAATTTGCTTGCTCTAAGGAACCTATGCCTCCCTCATAAGGACCCCATTATTCTGCCTGTGTTTTGCCCATCAGAGCCACAACCACTCTGACCTTGGCTTCTCCCTCACAGCATGACCCACTGTGCTGGGAGCTGCCCCGTCACATCCTCAGTCACCGCTGTGCATTCCTCAGTCACAGAGCTGAACCCTCTGGGCTCCATCTGATCATTTTTCTCTTGGCCTGGGGTCTCCACAAGGGCATCCTAGTGAAACATCTCCAGCAGTGGCACAGGGCATGATGTGGAATCAAAGCTAGGGGCTGTTAGGCAGATAGATGAATCTCTCTCCTTCCTTCTGCATCCCCTCCCCTCAGCAAACCTATATACCTCTGTCTCTGTCTTGCTCTCTTTTTGTCTCTATCTCTGCCTATCTCCTTCTTTCCCTTTGTCTTTTGTGGCTGTTTTTCTGTCTCACTTTGTCTCTCCAATATCTATGTGTCTGTCTGTCTCTGGGTCTTTGTCTGCTCCCATTTCTGTTTTTTTGTCTCTAGGTCTGGCTGTTTCGCAATGTGTCTCTCTATCTTCACCTCCCTGTACTGTCACTTACCAAGTCCTTTTTGTCCCCTCAGGATCCAACCAATGGTTACTACAAGGTTCGAGGTGTCAGTGTGAGCCTGAGCCTTGGTGAAGCTCCTGGAGGAGGCCTCTTCCTGCCACCCCCACCTCCCCTTAGACTTCCAGGGACCCCTACTTTCTATGACTTCAATCCACACCTGGACATGGTGCCCCCCTGCAAACTGTATAGAGCCCGGGCAGGTTATCTCACCACACCTCATCCTCGAGCTTTCACCAGCTACATCAAACCCACATCCTTTGGAGCCCCAGATCTGACCTCTGGAACTCCCCCCTTCCATTATGCTGCCTTCCCTATACCCACCCACCAGCGACTCCAGACTCATGTGTGACGACAACTGCCATTGAAGAATCCTGGGATCTTCAACTTGCCATAATGGACTGTTCTGGATTCTGAGGTGTCAGAACAAGTTGACAACCTTATTCCTCCAAAACTGAACATTGAATGAGGGAGGGAAAGAGTGTTACAATTGTTAGGATCATTGATACATAGTCAGCTCCTACAAAGGGAATGCCTCAAGCAGGACCGATATGGTCTCCATTCCCAACTCTTCTCCTGTGTAAAAGATATTTAAGGTGCTGGATAGGCCTTTGCAGAGAGATGAGGTCAGGGAGTGACAGGAGTAAGGGACGGGGATGGAAGTCATTTCTAGCTATTGAGCGAAGGTATTTCAAGATGACCTCCAGCATTGATAAGGAAAGTAGTACAAGGCAGATCAAGATGAAAGGTGTAACAGGTCCCACCTTGTTCTGGGTTTCCTTGAGAGACACTTCATTTGGCCAATGAAAGTGCTGCCACGATGGCTGGTCACTCTCTGAGAACCTAAGGTGGCCACCATCTTGATTCCATCTACCTTCCTTAAAGACTCAGAAAGAATTGGACCCAAAGAGTGGGGATAGGGTGAGAACTATCACTGTGAAGGTTAAAGGGAAACTAGGGGTAAGAATATTTATGTTTAATTTTAAAAAGCCAGAGAGGCAAACATGTCTTGGGTTTTCTCCTACCATCATTACTTTCCTTCAAGGAAGAGGTCCCCTGGCTCTGTCTCAAAGTCCTTCCTCTAGTAGCCTTAGCTTATGGAGTGATTGTAGGGACAAGACCCTAGGCCACCTCTCAGCTCCTTGTCAATTGTTTAGCACTGTAGGCTCTTTTAATATCCATCTACACAAGCATATACATATAGAGTTGCAAATGAAACATAGACATCCATGAAGGTGTGTTCCCACAAGACACACTCATAGAAGTAAGTCTACTAAGATGCACACACAGAACAAAGCTGGCCCCTTTGGCCAGGGAAAATAGAATTCTACACTCTGTTTTAAGGAGACAAAGCAGTGAGCCCTGAAGGGGAGTTGGGAAGCAGACCAGAGGCAGGAAAATGGAAGCCCCTTGATCCTTAAGTGAGGATGGAGGTGAGTCGTAACTTTTCTGAGGTGCTGTGTCCTTGATAGGAATGATTTGGGTAACTGACTTTGGTCATCCTTAAAGACAGGGACTGGGGACTTTGGTTCATGGATCCTTGACCCAGGAGTTAAAGATCCAGACACCTGGGACCAGTGGAAAACAGAGCTAGAAGACTGAACTTCCCGCCTGAGGGAGAAAGGGTGGAGGCCTTGGCCTTGAGGCTAAAACTGTTGGATTTGAGTGAGGAGGGGACTGGGTCTTAATTGCTGTTTGTTTGGGGGGTTTTTTGGGAGGGGGATCGAACTCGGGACCTTGTGCTTACAAAGCAGGCAGCAGAACCACTGAGCTAAATCCCAGCCCTTAATTGCTGTGTTCTTGATTGAGGACAGTTTGGGAGCCTGTATTCTTGGGATCTCAGAAGAGGGATTTTCTTCTTTTTTGAGGGGAGTGGGTTTCCGAAGCTGGCATGCCGGCAGGGAGGACAAAGCCCCACAGTGGGCGTCTGAGTCTAAAAGGGGAGAAGGGTGGGGTCGGAGTCCAGAGGTTAGACTCAAAATCCAAATAGGCAGAACCCAAGACCCAGTCTCAAGGCTTGGCCTTGGCATGGGATGGGCCGCCTGGAATCTCTCAGGGCGGGGGCCCTGGCGCAGGCTCCCACCCGCGTTCCAGAGCCACTGGCTCTGCGCAGAGCTGCCACGCTATTGTCCTGGATAGGAAGGCGGGACTGGCGTGGGGCGGGGCTGGCGGCGCCGGCGCAGCCCGGGGGCGGCGGGAGGAGGAGGCGGCGGCGCTGGGAGCTCCTGACACCGCCGCTGGGGCCAGGCCGGGCGGGAGCGCAGGGGACCTGAGGGCGCCAGGGCCGGGACATGGGGCCCGCGAGCCCCGCCGCTCGCAGTACGGGCCGCCGCTGGCGCCCGCCGCCGCTGCCACTGCTGCTGCTGCCACTCTTGCTGCTGCTGCCGCGCGCGCAATTCGCCATCGGGAGCTTCGCCGGTGGGAGCCCCGGCGCGGCCGAGGTGAGGCCAGGCCGGGTCCTGGGGGATGGGGGAAGGGGCGGGACCGGGCCGCAGAATCCCAACGCGGACCTGTCCAGGCAGAAAGCTCAGACCTTTCAGGCAGGTGGCCCGCCTCCAGGCGACCCTAACCACACTAGGTACTCATGAACCCAGGATTCCAGGTCCCGGCTCCCCCATCATCTGACATCCTAGCCCCCTCAGACCCTGGTGCCAGGAGTCCAACCTACCCCTCTAGACTCTCACTCTACACTAGGCCTCAACTCCGTCCCATCTGAACATAGGACCCACCAAGCAGCAAGGTCCTAGGATCTGAGAATCCGAGAGGCCCCTTACATCCTCTGTACCCAAATAAGGGCCCTCTCAGGACCCAGGAATCCAGGCCTCCAGCCACCACCCCCAACCGGGATACAGCTGCCCAGTCCTCAAGGACCTGGTGTCTAGGCCTGCAGGGAAGCCAGGCCTTGTCTTTGCACCCCCGCAATGGGAAGCCTGAACTGGGTATGGAAGGAGGAGAGGCCAGAATGCCTGGGTTCAGGCCTCCACCCCCACGATTCAGGTTTAACCCTTTCAGGCTCCAGCGCGACTGCCCTGGGGCGGGGGCGGAGTCTGTCTCCTCAGCAACAAGCCTCGCTGAAACGGGGGGGGGGGGGACTGGGTTGCTATAACAACGGGAGAGCAGAGTCGCCCCCGCCCTGCCGGAGCTGTTTCACAGGGAATGGTGTTTCCAAGAGGCCGGTGCGGAGTGATTGGGGGAGGGGACCGGAGCTGGGGGTCTGAATATCTCGGACCAGGGAATACATATGCCAACGTTCCCCGGGCCCTCACTGCCCTTCCTGGCACCACTGCTAGGCTCCAGGGTCGGCCCAGGTGGCAGGACTATGTGGGCTTCCAACCCTTCACCGGGACCTGCGCACCGGCCGCTGGGAACCAGACCCACAGCGCTCACAACGCTGTCTCCGGGACCCGCAGCGCGTGCTGGAGTACTGCAGACAGGTGGGCGGGGACTACGGGAGGGGCGTGGTCAGCGGAGAGCGGGTCCCAGATGGGGAAGGCCGCCTCTGAGAAGCTATACTCTCAAAAGGCAGGGTACCGGGAGATGCGGGATCTAAGGCGGCAAAGGGAGCTAGGGGATGTGGCCAGTGAAGAGGTGAGGACAGGACCTGTTTTGAGAAATTTAAATCTGAAGAAGGGAGAGCTGCGCAAATATCTCTTCTCAGGAGGATGGCCAGGGAACAGACGGGGTTTAGAAATCTGGTGGGCTCTGTATGAGGGCATAGGTGGGCGTGGCCAGTGGGAAGGCGGGGCTAAGATTAAGAGACCTATAGGACAGCAAGATGGGGGAAAGCAGTGAAGTCAAACGAGCAAGCGGATAGCCAGGAGGCGTGGCTGTGAGAAGGCGAGTCTAACAAAAAGGGAATACTTACAGAGAGGCCAAACCAAAGGGGACGAGTCTTGGAGGAGGAGACGATCTAAGGAGAGAAGAACCTGATTCTGGAGGAGGGGTGACCAGAGAAATGGGTTTACAGAGATTGATTTGCAGACAGACGAAGGGACCTTCATGAAGCAATTGGACAGGAAAAGAAGTGGCATCTAAGGAGAGCAGGAGGGATGTGGCCAACGAGCACGAGGGACTGAAGCTATCTCAGATGTGTTCTAGGGAGAAGCAGGGTCTAGGGAGATGTCCTTATGTATGCTAGCATCTTGAGCCAGGTGCAGTGGTCCATGCCTGCAAACCCAGCGCTGTGGGAGACTGAGGAAGGAGGATCACAAGTTTGAGGCCAAACTGGGCAATTTAGCAACTTAGCAAGACCCTGTCTCAAAATTTAAAAAGTAAATACATAAATAAAAGAAGAGCTGGGCATGTATCTCAGTGTGAAGGCCATGGGTTCGATCCCCAATACAAGGGTGGAGAGCAGAGCCTTGAAAAGGGACATGACCAGAGAGAGGGATGGCTGGCAGGGGCCGGGCAGTGGGTTGATTGTCCCTCCTTGGTGCCCCCAGATGTATCCAGAGCTGCACATTACACGTGTGGAGCAGGCCGCACCAGCAATCCCCATGGAACACTGGTGTGGGGGTGCCCGGAGTGGCCGCTGTGCCCACCTCCACCACCAGGTTGTGCCCTTCCGCTGCCTGCGTGAGTCACAGGCTGGGAGAGGGGAAGGGAGGTGGGACTCTCTGAGAGACATTTCTGAGCCCTGTCTCTGACCCTCATTAGGGGGCTGGGTGCCTGGGTCCAAAGTGGAGCCATGAAGCCTCTGAGGATAAGATATCTGGATTCTGACAAGGGTGGAGCTGGTGGCTGTGGGAGAGTCTCATCCTAGTGTCCCCCATTCCTCAGCTGGTGAATTTGTGAGCGAAGCCCTACTGGTGCCAGAAGGCTGCAGGTTCTTGCACCAAGAACGCATGGACCAGTGTGAGAGTTTAACTCGGAGGCATCAGGAGGCACAGGAGGTCAGGTCCCTGGCCCATGTATGCCTGCCCCACTAGAGCCCAGGAGTCCAAGGCCCTAACACCCTCCTTCACCAGAATCTAAGAGTCTTGTTATAGCCCCCTGTTCCCAATGGGATCTGGGAATTCCATCCTCCAACCCTTTCCTCCAGAACCAGGAATCCAGGCTCCCAGTCTTATCAGCCCCCAAGACCCAGGCATCCAGGCTTCCAGTCTACACCCTCCTACTCCACAGTCCTGGCATCTGGGCCCACTCTTCCCACAGGCCTGCAGCTCCCAGGGCCTCATTCTGCATGGCTCAGGCATGCTTTTGCCCTGTGGGGAGGATCGGTTCCGAGGTGTGGAATATGTATGCTGTCCCCCTCCAGTGACCTCCAACCCATCTGGGACAGCAGTTGGGTGAGTGGCCCTCCTAACGCTCCAAGAGCAGAAGATGGAAACCTGGGGGCTTACACTCAGGACCTTACTGCCTGGGTCTTCTCCTGCTCCTTCAGTGACCCGTCCACAAGGTCTTGGCCCCTGGGGGGCAGAGCAGAGGGGGGTGAAGATGAGGAAGGGGAGGAATCCTTCCTACAGCCAGTAGATGATTACTTTGTGGAGCCCCCCCAGGCTGAAGAGGAAGAGGAAGAAAGAGTCCCACTCCCAAGCTCCCATACTTCTGCTGTGATCAGCAAAGGTAAGGCAGTCTAGTCCTCTCTACCACTGGAGAAAGCGTGATTTGGGGGAGCCTTGCTGTTTGGGGAGGGACCTGTGGAGGAGAGGCCCAGGTAGGGGGAATGGAAGAGATAGGAGTAGCTTTGGAAGAAGTAGAGGTGGAAGGGTTAGCTTGTGAAGAATGCAAAGGGACAAGGTAGTTTAGGGATCCTTGGAAGTGGAAGGCCCATTTGGTAGGCCCTAAGGGTAATTTGAGGAAAGCTTGGGAAATAGTGAAATGGATTTACAAGCTTTCCAGGAACAGGCCAGGTCCAGAATTACATCTCCCATGATGTTAGGCAACAGTGATAGCTAAACTGGATGCATGATGGTCTCCAGTGCACTCTAGGAAATGCAGTTCTTCAGGTAGGAAAGGTGACCAGGAGGTGTGCTGCAAGCCGACCTCCCGGTCCCTGATGGTCTTGCAGTCACTCCGACCCCGAGGCCCACGGACGGTGTAGATGTTTACTTCGGCATGCCTGGGGAAATCAGTGAACATGAGGGGTTCCTGAGGGCCAAGATGGACCTGGAGGAGCGTAGGATGCGCCAGATTAATGAGGTGGATACTGGGGACCCCAGGAACTCACCATATCTGTCACACAGATCCCTAAAATGCCAGAAATCTCCTGAGGAACCCATTGACACTCATCCTCTCAGGGATGCTCAAGCCCTTCAACCCTGAGCCCTTAACACCACCCCCTAAGATGACCAGAAGTCCCTAAGCCACCTAGAATCCCAATGAGATGCCATCAGATTCCCTGGAAACTCTGGCCCACGGTACACTTCCACTTTCGACTCCCCCTGGGTCTTTCCTCTTGGGAATGCAAGAGCTAGTGGGACTTAAGGGTTCTAGATCCTCCAAAGTCTTGACAAGGGGTTGGGAGACTTACCAGTTATATCAGAGTGGATTCTGGGATCCTAAAGCTCCATCCCACCCCCAGGTGATGCGTGAATGGGCCATGGCAGACAACCAGTCCAAGAACCTGCCTAAAGCTGACAGACAGGCCCTGAATGAGGTAGGACAAGGGACTGGATGGTCTCAGCCTGGCTCTGGCCATGTCTGACCCCATCCACTTCAACCCCCTCCTACTTACCTTGGTGTTTCCTGGCCCCACCCCTCCATTTGGCCATGCCACTGTTGACCTAACATTGCTCTCCTCCTTAGATTGGCCAGGCTTAGCCCTGCTTAACTTGACTTCTTTCTGAGGTCTGGCTCTGGAGTCCTCTCCCAAGCCTGGTACCCTGAAGTTATAGCTGGGTTCTTCTCAGCTGCTCTTGGAGGCAGTCACATCCCTGTTAGGCCCCACCCTGACTCCGGTCCTGCCACTCTGTCTTACTTTTACTCAGTTCCTCCCTGAGAAGCCCTACCTCCTAACTTTTGAACTCACCTCCTTCAGCCTTACCTGGTGCAGCTCCATTCCACGCAGTCCCAAATAAGGTTAGCCCTCATTCCAATCCTCATCCCCCTACGCCCCAACTTGGGTCTCATTGAGGCGCAGCCTGTCTCGAGTTTGGCCCTGTCCAGGTCTGGAGTCCTGCTCTCTCTACAAGACTTGCAGGGACAACACTGACAGTTCTGTTCCCAGGTTATTCCCACCCAGTCAGATAATTTATACCCTCAGGTTTGCTCCCAGGAGGCCTAGTCCTGACCCTATACTACCTGTTCACGTAGCAACCCTTCTAGGAAGTTTCCTATGATCCAGTCCCATCCCAGCTGGCTCTGTCCAGGCCAGACCCACAGAACCCCACCCCACTTGCCCCAGTAGTCCTGCCTTTCCAGACTTCTTTGACCCACACATTCACCTGTCTTTACCTCTCCTGACTGTATGCCACCCCCACTTCCCCATCCCTGGCACCAGCACTTCCAGTCCATTCTGCAGACCCTGGAGGAGCAGGTGTCTGGTGAGCGACAGCGCCTGGTGGAGACCCATGCCACCCGAGTCATCGCTCTTATCAATGACCAGCGCCGGGCTGCCCTGGAAGGCTTCCTGGCGGCACTGCAGGGGGATCCGCCTCAGGTACAGGGTGGTGGGGACAGAGAGCAGAAGCAGAGAAAGGCTACAACAGGCCCGGGCAGCCTTTATCCCTCCCACAGGCAGAGCGTGTCCTGGTGGCCCTGCGGCGCTACCTGCGGGCGGAGCAGAAGGAGCAAAGGCACACGCTGCGACACTACCAACACGTGGCCGCTGTGGATCCTGAGAAGGCCCAGCAGATGCGATTCCAGGTCCTTAAATGCCTCTAACTCCCAGATGCCCTGCTAGCCTCCAGATCCTAGGCCCTTGGACTCTTCTCTTGTTCTTCACATTCTGTCCCTTGGACCTCTTTCCTATGCCTAAAACCCCTTCCTGGGCCTGAGGACCTTTTCCAGTCCCTCATCTTCACTTCCTGTCCTTCAGATCCCTACTTCCTGATCCTGGACCACCGTTCCTCACCAACACCGTGCCATTGACCCCCTTCTCTTCCCTTGAATTCTTCTTAGTTTCTGTCCCTTGGATTTCTACTTCCTTTTCCAGAATCCTCTTTCAGTACCTTAAACCCTGTTCCTGTACCTCGACCTTCGTTCCTCCCTCGTCTCATTTGTTTTCCCAGAAGCCTCTTCTCTGCGTCCTCAGAATCTAATTCCTATTTCTTGGAGATTCTCTTCCTGTCTGTAAATCCTGTGTTCTGGAACCACTATCATTTCTGTATGACTCTCCAATTCTTTTTGTTGTTGTTGTTGTTGTTACTAGGAATCGAACTCAGGGCCTCACACTTGCCAGGCAGGCACTGCACTGCTGAACTACATCCCCAGCCCATGACTCTCTAATTCTACTTCCTGTCTCTGAAACCTGCCCAAACCCCATTTTCTGTTCCTCAGACCCTACTTTCTACACCTACTCCACTTACCCCCACTTCCAGTCTTCTATACCATATTCCTTGTATCCTATACTTACCTGTCTTATGCCTCCTTTTTCCTTGGGACCAAGGAGCTCACACTTATTGGGCAAGCATTTACCATTGAGTTATAGCCCAGCCCATTTTCTTTTTATGTTTTCATTTTCAGACAGGGTCTTAAGTTCTCAATAAGTTGCCCAGGTTGGCCTCAAACTTGCAGTCCTCCTGCCTCCTGAATAGCTCGGATTATAGGTGTAAGCTACTGAACCCAGCCCATCTCTCATACTTACTCTCTATAGGTGCTGACCCACCTTCAGGTGATTGAGGAAAGAATGAATCAGAGCCTGGGGCTGCTTGACCAAAACCCCCACCTGGCTCAGGAGCTTCGGCCCCAGATCCGTGAGTGCCCATTGTCCCTGGCCCCCATTCCAGACCTCTAAAGGCCCTCAAACCATGAACCTCCCCCACTTCAGTTATTATTTGGGGGGGGGGGGTACTGGGGATTGAACTCAGGAACTTGTGCTTGCAAGGCAGGAACTGGAACCACTGAGCTAAATTCCTGGCCCTAGTTATTATTTTTTAAGGCAGGGTCTTGCTATGTGGTACAGGCTAGCCTGAAATTTGTTATGTAGTCCAGACTGGCCTTAAACTCAGAATCTTCCTGCTTCAGCCTCCCAAGAGCTAGGATTGCAGGCATGTACCTTGTCCAGCTCAGTTATCTATTCTTGTATAACAGACTGCTCCAGAACTTAATATTTTTACTCTCAAAACAATTTTTCTTCTGGGTGTGGTGGCGCATGCCTGTAATCCCAGTACACAGGAGGCTGAGGCAGAACTGCCATGAGTTTGAGGTTACTCTGGGCTACATAGTGAGTTCAAGTCCAGCCTGAACTACATAGTGAGAGTCTGTCTCAAAAAAAACATTTTTCTTTGCTCATGATTCTGCTGTCTGTTCTGGATTCAGCTGAATGGTTCTCCTGGTGAATTTCTCAGTAATAAGTGAGCAGCTGTATTTAACTAGAGGATCACTGAGGGACTGGGACTCTGGAAAATGTGCCTCTCCCTCTCTCCAGCTAGGATCAGTGCCTCTCTCCTCCAAGGAGCCTCTCCATGCAGGGGCTTCCTACATGATGGTGCAGGCCCCCAAAAGCAAAAAAGTGGAAGTTCCCGGATCATTTTTTTTTTTTTCAGTGATGGGGATTGAACCCAGGCCTTTGTACATGCTGAGCAAACTCTGCCACTGGGTTGTAGCTCCAGTCCCTCCAGATCTTCTTAAGGCTTGGGCCCACATTCTATTGGTTAGACCAAGTTACAAACTGAGACCAGATTCAATGGGAGGGACATTGCACTGCCCCTGGCTCTATTGTGACTTCCTCCAGGATGTCCCACACCTAACCCTAAATCTCTTGATATTTAATGAAACTGGGTTCTAAAAACTTCAGCCTCCATCTTCCAGCCATCAGTGCTTCCGCCCAGTGCTCCACTTTGTCAGGTCACACTTAGGGCTGCCTCTGCTGTCTGCATGATCTCCCAAGCACTCCACTATGTGGTGCCCTTCACTAACCCTGTAAGGCTTGTGGAATCCCTTTGCTCACCACCTCAGCCCCCTCTCTGCATGTTCCCCTCAGAAGAACTCCTCCATTCTGAACACCTGGGTCCCAATGAATTGGAAGCCCCTGCACCTGGGGGCAGCAGTGAGAACAAGGGTGGGCTGCAGCCTCCAGATTCCAAGGACGGTGAGTGAATCTGGGGACAAGCCTCCAACCTCATTGCTAATCCCCTAGAGTCTGGGGATGTCTTAGCCACCACAGTGAGGGGGAGAGAACAGGGAGGAATGTCTCAATGTGTGGAGGCCTCTGTAGGGTCCTTGGTCCTCCTTTGGTCCCTGGGAGGGTGTTTCTCCACTCTTTATTTGATGGTGCCCTCCTCTCTTCACTGTTCCACCTGCCTTGCCCGCTCTGGCTGCCAGCAGAGACTCCTGTGACCCTTCCAAAAGGTGAGTGTCGTGGAAGGTAGAGCTCAGCCACTAAATCCCACTGAATCCTAAACCCAAAGTGAACAAGGATCCATACATAAGCAGATTTAGATCTTATAGGGTGGAGTCTGGTGCCCTTTCTGACCCCCTCCTCAGGTGGGGGCAGCACCCCTCTGAACCCTCAAGAATGAGATGGGACTTGGGGGGTAGGGTCCACAGAACAAGACGCTGCATCCTTTGGGAAAGAGAAGACATCCTCCCTGGAGCAGTATGAGCTAAAGGTGAGTTGGACCTGGGCTCCTAAAGGAAGATCAGCGGGCACCTGGGTTCCTAGAGTTATTGGAGGAGGTGCTGGGGTTTGGAGTCCTTGGGCTGAGGGAAGAGGGGCCTGAAGACATGGATCTGAGTAGGGGATGCCCTCTTGGGCCCTGGGAACGAAGAAGTGGGGTCCATGACACTTCCTGTTCCCCCAGGTTAATGCATCTGTTCCAAGGGGGTTTCCTTTCCACTCCTCGGAGATTCAGAGAGATGAGCTGGTAAGAGGTGTAACCCGGGGTACCTAGGGAGAGAGATGTCGGGGATCAGTGTCGAGGCTATGGCTCTCAAAGCTGCAAAAGACCCTGATGAGCCTCAAAGTTATCCTGGGCCCCATGTCCTTTCTCCGCAGGCCCCTGTTGGGACAGGTGTGTCCCGCGAGGCTGTGTCGGGCCTGCTGATCATGGGAGCGGGCGGGGCCTCCCTCATTGTGCTCGCCATGCTGCTGCTGCGCAGGAAGAAGCCCTACGGGGCTATCAGCCACGGGGTGGTGGAGGTGAGGGCTATCAGCCACGGGGTGGTGGAGGTGAGAGTGCCAAGCCTCCCTGGGCACGGACCGACCCTGTGCTCAGCAGCGAGGCCCCGGCCCCACTACCCCCCCCACCCCGCTGCAGGTGGACCCCATGCTGAGCCTGGAGGAGCAGCAGCTGCGAGAACTGCAGCGGCACGGCTATGAGAACCCCACCTACCGCTTTCTGGAGGGCCGACCCTGAGCCCAGGCCTCCCTTCTTCCGGGTGCCCCCACAACCCCAATTCCCAGCCCGGGGTAGGGGAAGGAGGTCTTGACAAGTTCATTCTAAGGTCCCCTTTCCAATTCCAAATTCCATCCCTAAGAAATCCCGCAGGTTTTTCCCGCTGCTGCCTCACTTGGGACCTCTTCACCTTATTTTATAAGTTAATTTATTGCTCCTTAAGGTTATCACCACACTGGTCCCAGTGTCTGTTGCTCCCTGAAATTCACCCTCCCACTAACATCCCAATAAAGCCCTCTTCCCCACCAGGCCATCCTGTGTCTCTCTGGGAGATTCCGTGTGTAAATACAGCTGAAGCGGGTGTTCGTCTCTGCCTTCGCGTCGGTAAACTGGACGAGGGCGCTTTAAATCTGAGCTGGGCCTGCGGGAAGGGCTGGCGCGCAGGGGCGGGTCCAGAGACTTTAGCGAGGCTCTTTCCGTGGTGCTGAACGGTCTGAGACTTCCAGACCTCTATCCGCTGGTCGCCGGCACGGACCCCGAGGAGGTTGGGCTTTGGCAAATTTCTCCAGCTTTTTACTTAACCTGCACACGCAGTTACACGCAGCAGCCATGCCAACCTGAGAGCCCTGGGGAGTCCCCCCCCCGTACTAGGGATTGAACACAGGACCTTTGCACCGAGCTACCTCTCCAGCCTTTATTATTATTATTATTATTTTACATTTTATTTTTTAGACAGTCTCGCTATGTAGTTCAGGCTGCCCTTGAACTCACTATGTAGCCCAGCCAGGACTCAAACTCATGGCAATCCTCCTACCTCAGCCTCCCAAGTGCTGGAATTCCAGGCGTGCACCACCAGGCCTGGCCATCCAGCTTTAAAAAGTTTTAATTTTTTTTTTTTTTTT